AGGGTCAACGAGGGTCAATCTGAACGATAGAACTATTGTAAAGTATAAACATCAATCTTACACTTTCCATTACTCAAATAAATGCATTTCAACTTGTATGAGGTTCACTATAATCTGGTTGTTTAAAAACAAGGAGTGACAGTGAAAATGAGCTCTACTAGGTTGTTGTGCTGATTAGCGGTGGGCTTTGTTTTCTTTTTGGAGGTGTAAGGCTATGTAGCAAGATGGTGATTAGACCAAGGGCTAAATATAAGACTACACCAGCTCACCAACCAAAATAAACAGTCTCCCATCACCACCCCCTATCCCAACAGCAACAATGCCATGTTTTTACAACAGCCACTACTGATTGTTCTGACATCCCATTAGGTCAAATTCACAAGATCCATAATGGACAGATACAAATGACATCAAATAATAATACATTTAAGTCACTTCTAATATAAAGTCTTGGACTGAATTATAAAAAAAGGGGGTCTAGAATCAAGCAATGTTAAAACTAAGCAGTTTTTTAAATATTTGGTTAATCTTAGCCTGTTCAAGACATAGTTGTAAAATAATAATAGTCACTAGAAGTCTCTCGATTACTAAATATACAATTATGAAAAGGAGAGCTGGAGGTTAAGGAAATGCTATTGTTTTAAGCCTCAAGAGGCTATGGAGCAGATTTGGACTCCATTGTTTTGGCAGCCCTGGGGTTCGCCCATAAGAGTAGGTGTGTTACTTCCTAAGTTATTGTATAGCGTGTCCTGTCCAGCTAACTAAAAACAGAGGTAATCCCCCTCTTGAATATGACATGGAGACATAATAATAGCAATATGAGGTGAATATATAAAGACAAGAACATTATAATCCAAGCTTGACAGGATTTGCCAGATTGGACTGTTGTGTATGAAGGTAAATCAGTTGCGTAACTCGAGAGCTTGCAAATGTAAATGTGAGCACTTGTGATAATAATATTTGTATGTGTAGGTTGAAATGTACACTTACAGCTCTGATGTGAACAGCTGAATCCCTCGATTTGCGCACACACACAACAATCCACACACTTGTGTTTTAAATTGGAAGTTGCAGATTAATAGTTGTGTATTTGTAAAATGTCATTCACAAATACAAAGTGACAGACACACGTGTGCACGGCAAATTTGATTGCATCTTATCTCTACAACCACAGGTCGGCACTCACAACCTCTCAGTTTTGTCAGTACAACTACAAATCTCCCGCGCTCTGACTTTTGCTACACATCTCCCGCGATCTCTGTAGCAGAACCCATCTGTGCACTTGCAAATGCAGAGGCGTGAGCAGCGCGGGGCGGGGGAGGGGCGGGGCAGGTGTAAAGCTGTTTGATTGGCTGATGCCTGACCAATGAACAATGCCAGCAGCCAACAGGACTGAGGTGCAAAAGAATCATTTCCCACGATTATTTTATTATTTAGGGTTTATTTCAACTCTTTTCTGAAGAGATTCTTGTTAAAAATCATTAATTTTGCGGAAATGAACATACCAGTAAAAGAGCAGCAAAGCCAGTTTATTGGCTAGAGCCAGCCAATGAGATGGGGCGTTTCTGTTTGTCAGCACACAGGGCAGCTCACGTTGTTGGAGGCCTCGAGCAATCAGAGGGTAAGTTATGATTTTTAATAATTATCTATATGTTCAATATTGTTAGCTAAGCTAAGGACTGTGCTGGGTGCTTCTCTTGTTTGTTTTTTTATATAAGAAACAGTTATGAGTTATGTAGGAGTTGCTTTCTATCATGTTATATCGTTCTAAAGATACGATTCAACCCACATGAAATAAGTTGTAATAGTATTTATAGTAAATAATATTACGTTTTTGAACCATACTAACTATAGTAAACTGTATTATATTGTATATACTGCAGTATCTACAACTTTGTTAATGAATGCAACAGCACACTGTAGTATTAACTAGCATGAACTTTAATAAATTAAAGTATATTTACACACACATTTATAGCAATTAAAAATAACACTAGGCGTTTCAGTTTCTCACTGATTATACCGGTTTTTGTTATAATAACCTGCATCATATCTATCTATCCATCTATCTATTTACATGTTTGTGTACAGTGTGTCCTTTATATCACTTTTTTAATTATGAACGTTACTAACTATAGGTTATTTCTCAGTTTCCTGTAAGGATGGAGTGACAGGAGAGATCAGGATGTTTCAAGTCGATGAGGAACTCAGAGAAGCTGCATAGCTTGAATAGGATGTTATTTATGCTAAAGATGACATGATGATCCAGCTCATCTACAAACACTTCAAAATGATTCAGATCATTCAAGAGGAAGCCGACCATTTGTTTTCTCTTTTTACCTGCCAAGATGATTACAGATTTGAACAAAACACACACTCACCAACACACAACTTTTATTTTGCTAATTGTTTAATGTAGTATTTTTACACTTTACTGTAAAGTAGGGCTGTCAAACTTAGTTCCTGGAGGGCCGTAACCCTGCACGTTTTTAGTTTCAACCCTGCTTCAACACACTTAAGTGAAAGTTTCAAACAAACCTGAAGGACTCAGTTAGTTTGATCAGGTGTGTTTAATTAGGGTTAGAACTAAACTTTGCAAAGCTGCAGCCCTCCAGGAACTGAGTTTGACACCTGTGCTGTAAGGGAAATGTTTAACATTAATTTGTCAAATAAAATTTACAGTGCAAATAAGTGCAGTGCAAATGTCTAGTTACTTGTATTGAAATATTTCAGGGTTTTTCCTTGTTCATAATGAGATGGAGGTGGTAAATCCAACTTCATCATTACCCATCAAATGTTATCTCCTCTTTAATCCTTTGCTCAAACCTTTAGTAATGGGCAAAAAGCAAGCCATTGTGTAAAGCTGGTTGATGCTCGCTGTAATAGAGAGAGATGATGACTGTTCAGCTTATGTTGCTTAACCCTGCAGATGAGATGCTCAAAGTGGACCCTCAGCCGAGCGATGGACACTGTCTCCCTCACCTAGTTGCTCTTCCTTTGAACACACATATCATGTTGAAGGATGCAAGTTGTGGACCTAAATCAGATGTAATGCATGTAGATGTAAAAATTAGAAAGAAATGAAACTGCTTTAAAATGTATTAGGTTTTACATATAAATACGTGTTCTTAACAGATTTGTTTCAACTTGATATTTGCATAATAAATGACATTAGAATGTTTAGTTTTAAACAAATAGCTATATTTCAATCTTATCAAATTTAAGCTATATATATATATATATATATATATATATATATATATATATATATATATATATATATATATATATATATATACTTCAATTTATTAAAGTTCATGCTAGTTAATACTACAGTGTGCTGTTGCATTCATTAACAAAGTTGTAGATACTGCAGTATATACAATATAATACAGTTTATTATAGTTAGTATGGTTCAAAAACGTAATATTATTTACTATAAATACTATTACAACTTATTTCATGTGGGTTGAATCGTATCTTTAGAACGATATAACATGATAGAAAGCAACTCCTACATAACTCATAACTGTTTCTTATATAAAAAAACAAACAAGAGAAGCACCCAGCACAGTCCTTAGCTTAGCTAACAATATTGAACATATAGATAATTATTAAAAATCATAACTTACCCTCTGATTGCTCGAGGCCTCCAACAACGTGAGCTGCCCTGTGTGCTGACAAACAGAAACGCCCCATCTCATTGGCTGGCTCTAGCCAATAAACTGGCTTTGCTGCTCTTTTACTGGTATGTTCATTTCCGCAAAATTAATGATTTTTAACAAGAATCTCTTCAGAAAAGAGTTGAAATAAACCCTAAATAATAAAATAATCGTGGGAAATGATTCTTTTGCACCTCAGTCCTGTTGGCTGCTGGCATTGTTCATTGGTCAGGCATCAGCCAATCAAACAGCTTTACACCTGCCCCGCCCCTCCCCCGCCCCGCGCTGCTCACGCCTCTGCATTTGCAAGTGCACAGATGGGTTCTGCTACAGAGATCGCGGGAGATGTGTAGCAAAAGTCAGAGCGCGGGAGATTTGTAGTTGTACTGACAAAACTGAGAGGTTGTGAGTGCCGACCTGTGGTTGTAGAGATAAGATGCAATCAAATTTGCCGTGCACACGTGTGTCTGTCACTTTGTATTTGTGAATGACATTTTACAAATACACAACTATTAATCTGCAACTTCCAATTTAAAACACAAGTGTGTGGATTGTTGTGTGTGTGCGCAAATCGAGGGATTCAGCTGTTCACATCAGAGCTGTAAGTGTACATTTCAACCTACACATACAAATATTATTATCACAAGTGCTCACATTTACATTTGCAAGCTCTCGAGTTACGCAACTGATTTACCTTCATAGTTGTGGGGATTGTTCACCCAAATATGACACTCATCCTCAAGTGGTTCCAATCCTTTATGAGTTTCTTTATTCTGTTGAACAATAAAGATGATATTTTGAAGAAAGCTGAAAACCTGTAATCATTGACATCCGACATAGGAAAAACAAATATACTTGCTTTCCTCAAAATAACCTTCTGGTGTTCAGTAGAAGAAAGAAAGTCAACAAGTTTGACACAAGTGAAGGGAAATTTCAGTTTGGGGTGAATTATCCGCATAATAACAAAATATAAATCAATGTCCATCTGATGCATCAGAAAAAGAAAGTGCATAAGCATGTTGAAAATAAGTACAAAATCTGTATAACCCAAAGCCAACTTGAAGTATACAGGAATTAGGATGTTTCATGTTGAAGAGGATAAACCAAAAGGCTGATAAATCTAACTCTTCTCTTATAATAACCATTGCAGTAATTCATTTCCAATTTCTCAGCAGCTTATCAGCAATTACGCTACTTGTCTGCGTGCATAAAATCAGTTACTACTGAGTTTACAGCACTGATACTGTGTAACAATGCCATGTTTTAAAACTTGCAACCGGAAAAAAGATATGTTGAGATTGCAAACTTTCTTATCTGGTTGTTTTCTGTTCTCCACAGGTGCCTTCCTACATGACATGGCGTATGCACAGTCTGAAACCACAATACCCACCGCTTCTGAATCACACAGTACCTCGAATAGAAGTGTGGTCACTGATGCAACTGTGTCTACTACGGTGCACAAAGCGACTAATGCACAAACAACTGAAGCACAAACAACATCCATTCCAGCTGGTCCAACAAGCCAAGCCACACATCCTCCCACTTCTGCACCAACTACCCAATCAGATCCTAACAACAACCAGGGCTCAACAGCTTTACCCAGTACATCCACCCTATACATGCAAAATGTCAGTTCTGCTCAAGTAATACCAACTGGAGTTGACCCAAATACTTCATTCAGTCCAACTACCCAATACACACTAACTGATAGTCCTAAATCAGTTACACAACCGCATTCATCAGACCAAGCTTCTACGTCCAATCCAGATAACCTTAATACTCCGACTAGCACTTCTGAACGAACAACACAGCGTGTATCAACTGAACAAACTACTGCATACAGTCCAGCGAAGCAAGACAGGCCTACCATTTCTGACCCAGCCACACCAGCTAACTCTACCACAGAACTCATCACTTCTAAGCCAGACATTACAACAGACAAAAAGACAACAACCGGGACCACAAGTAAGATTTCGCTCACATCAGAATGATCTTAATAACAGAAAAAAATTAAACATTTAATGTACAAAAAGGCTCATAAAAACGAGTAAAATAATTACAATAATGAAAAGTAAATTGTTATTTATTTTTTATGTCCCTTTTCAGCTCAATTACTCACCACAGCAAAACCAAACGCTAGAAGTTTTGTTTCTCAAAGTCTTCAGACCACAATAGTACCGCAGTCAACAACTGCCCCAATCAAAACATCCCAGCCTTCGGATCTACGCAAAAATTTCACTCATGTAAATCTCTCATTCATGTCTTTCTTACATATCATCATTACATTCATAATCCTGATATCGTTTGTGATCTTATTTTGTCTTTTGCAGCCTGTCTATGATCTGAGCAGCAGCAGCAGCAGCACTGAAGTGAGTACAGGAATGAAATTACAATGACTGATGATGTCTTTAAACATTCAGAGGTCATAGAGATCATTCATTTCTCTACCTGATGACAATATGGCCTTTTTAAAAAGCATCATCCCCTTTAAAAATAAAAAAAGTGAATAAATAAATAAAAAAAAACAGCATGTTCTCATCTGGAGGAAAAAAAATCCATCTTATTTTCATCCTAAAATTCACCTGCACATATCAGGAATTTCTATTATTTTTCAATGTTCAAAGACATCATTCATTAATAAGAAAATTTATTACAGAACAATGGAGCCAGAGGATGTGTTTTTGTAAAACAATAGCATGCAAAGTAACTTAATTCACAAAACTATCTAACTTTCTCCTTAAAAACACTAAACACGCATTTGTGATTGCAGAGGAATATCGTGCGTGAAACCTGCAAGAAGCTGGGCCAGAACTTGAAAGGAAATTGCTCTGTGGAAGTGGAAATTAACAACAACCAATTAATTGCAACAATAACAATAAATGGTGAGCAAAAGTTACAGCTTCCAATCATATAGAAGCACATCATCTGGAGGAATCACTTTTCCTCGTATTATCTCATCTTTAATAACAATGAAAATGATAGAAATTCCTTGTTCATTCGCAGCTAACCAGGCGATACCATTGGAAAATTACAATCCTCCAGAAACAAATGTAAGCAGATTTAACAGTAGCGCTTGCAATTTCCAAAGAAGTCTGTGCATTAAAAACACCTTTTGTTTTCTTTGTAGGAAAACGAGAACAGCAACAAGGAGCCAGTTCAAGACACGATACCAGACACGCTGATTGCCATCTTGGCTTCATGTGGTGCTTTGGTGCTCATTCTGTGTGGCTTTGCTGCGTACTGCACTTATCATCGTAGATCCTACAGGAAGAACCAGGTAACACTCACCTCCTAACACAAAGTTTATAATGAAGGAACTCCAAGAATGGCATCTAGATAGAGTATAAAAACAGATAGAATAATAACAATGCAATTGTGTCCCAGATCAGACACTGGGCATTCTGAAAGAGAAAGACTTACTGTAATCTTACCAAGATAAATACTGGTTTTATGGACCCGGAAAGGAACACACTTTGGCCTTTTAAAGTCTTAAAAAACACCCTAAACCAGGAGTGTTGAACTCTTCTGAGAATTTCTGGAGAGCCACAGCCCTGCACACTTTAGTTCCAACCCAACTCCAACAGACCTGTAAGTTTCAAACAAGCCTGAAGGACTCAATTAGTTTGATCAGGTGTGTTTAATTAGGGTTGGAACTAAACTGCAGAGCTGCAACAATGCAAGAACTGAGTTTGACACCTGTGCCCTAAACCCTCATGGTGCAAAGATTGTATTTTTTTGCGAGTCAAGCAGAACAGTTCTCTTAGCTTAACCTTTACATTCCTTGTGGATCCAGGCCAGTCAGCACGGATACGGTTTCGTTTTCCACTGGGGTGCTGATAACGGAGCTCTCTGAAATGTAATACAAATGCGTCATGTGTTGCCTCGGTAATGCAAGTGTAATGCAAACACTGATATGGATGGATATCAAATATTTCTGTTTTAGAGACTTTAGAGACAGTTTTTTATATGTTCTTTGTTGAAAAACAATAAATAAAAAACTAAATAGAGTGTTATCACTAGAATTCCATGCCAAAAACTATTTGCAACTGTGCCAAACCATTCCAGACTCAAGTGGGAGTACACCTTGAACTGTAAACTCGTATTTCATTAGCATCTACCAAAATTCCATGCAAATTCAAGACACTTTTATACAGCTTAAAGTGACATTTAGAGCCTTAACTAGTTAATTAGGTTGACTAGGCAGGTTAGAGTAATTAGGCAAGTCATTGTATAACGATGGTTTGTTATGTAGACTATCGAGAAAAAAATATAGCATAAAGAGGCTAATAATTTTGACCTTAAAATGGTGTTTAAAAAATAAAAAACTGCTTTTATTCTAGTCAAAATAAAACAAATAAGCCTTTCTCCAGAAGAAAAAAATATTATCAGACATACTGTGAAAATTTCCTTGCTCTGTTAAACATCATTAGGAAAATATTTTAAAAAAGAAGAAAAACATTTGAAGGGGGTTAATAATTCTGACTTCACCTGTATATAAAAAATTACATACAATTTTGTTATGTATAATAATTTTGCTGACACTTTACAATAAGGTTGTGTTAGTTAATGCATTTGCTAACATGAGCAAATGATGAACCACACATTTACTACATTTAGTTAATGAAAATGTTTGTTTGTTCATGTTAACAAGTGCATTAACTAATGTTAAAAAGCATGAACTAGGATGTTAACAATGCATTGCTAAATGTTGAACTATGATAAATAAACCCTATACAAGTATTGTTCATAATTAGTTCATGTTAGTAAATACATGAACTAGTCAAATCTTAATGTAAAGTGTGGCCATCATTCCCCCCCGTGTATGCATATATACATGGATGTCAGAATCAGAATTGGTTTTATTGCCAAGTGTGCTTACGCACACAAGAAATTTGCTTTGGCTACAGAAGCTTCCAGTGTGCATAAAGTGACAACACAAAATAAATATGAGAAAACACGACAAATATTAAACAGAGATGCAGTTAGACAATATATAAGCATATTGTTATAAATACACAAGTTATATGGTGCTGTGTACAAATGCATATGGAAAAAGTATTGCATTGTACTGTATATTATTATAAAGTATGTGTGTATTTATATAAAAAATATGCACATTATTTATATGTACATATTAAATATACACATTAAAAACTAAATTACACAATTCAAACTCTTATTTATGTGATTGGTCGTGATTAACAGCACGATTAACATCCCAATGTGTACTTTTTACCTGGACAGCAACATCTAACAGAAGAGCTGCAGACTGTGGAAAACGGTTATCATGACAATCCCACTCTGGAGGTGATGGAGGTGCAGCCTGAGATGCAAGAGAAGAAACTGGCATTGAATGGAGAGTTTAACGACAGCTGGATCGTCCCAATAGACAACCTTCTGAAAGAGGACATACCTGACGAAGAGGACACTCACTTGTAATGGACCCCGGTGAGCCGTGACGAGTGGGAAACCTGCTGCTGCCTTTACGGTAAATTGTGACCAGCCAGAATGTCAAGAAAAGCAGAGATCGACGTAAAGACTATGACAAGATAGTGGTTTCATTTGGCGCCCACACTGTATATGCTGTAATTAAATAGTTTGATGTCAAGTATGTGCTAGAAAGAGTAGAAAAGCTTTTGAGTTTTGTGTGTCACTGTCTTTGGAAATGATCAATGCACAATCTATGGCCTCTAATTGTGCCTTACTTTTCTTCATCACACGGTGGAGAAACCAGTAGTTTGATACGCATACAAATATATACACAGACGGATGTTGGGGATCAGCCTGTTTTATTATTTTGAACACTTTTGGTTCAGTTATTATTAATATTGAATGAAAAAAAACAGGATTATAATTTTATTGTAATTTCACTCACTATATTTGAACATTTTTTGCAACACATTTTGAGACTTGTGAAGAAATGATGCCATTTTTATCTAAAAACAAGGAATCCGTTTTATTATTTTTAACAAAACAAGTGTTTTTAAAGTGAAAGTTTGTGTCTGAAACAAAGAAACGTGGCTTTGTGTAATTGGTGACGTAAAATAGAAGGACGACAGGACCAAAACATTCAATGCACATTAACTACAGGATCATATTTTAACTAGTGATGTTGCCACCTACTGGCCTGGCATGCATAATACAGCCTTTTTTTGATACAGTGGTCCCTCATTATTCACGGGAGTGGAGTTCTAAAAATAACCCGCTATTGGTAAAATCCGCAAAATAGTCTGCTTTATCTTTATCAATAAGTATAGATGGTTTAAGGCTGTAAAACCCCTCACTACACTATTTTTCCGACAGGCATTTTCAGACTTTTCTCTCGTTTAAACTTCCATCCTCTTTTAGCATGTAGAGAATTCCAACTTTTTGTGCGATGGTTAGCATCTTCCTTTGCTTTTTGGGTGCTACCATGGGTGCCTTTGATTATGCAGAATGTTTCGTCAGCAATATGGGGATTGTTGGGGAGAAAACTTGCAACATACAGAACAGCACTTTAGAGTCACACTGCTAGCGATCAAAATTTGGCAAGCTGAACGCATTCTGTACTGTACATGTGACACGGCAAGGAGGAGATTGACTGGCAATGGTCTACAGCCAATCAGGACACAGAACACATTGTACTAAACAGTAAGCAGAGAACAATGCGCTGTAAAAAAAAAAAAAAAAAGCATGTCAAATTACACAAAAAAAACAGCGAAACAGCAGACCGCAAAAGGTGAACCGTGTTATGGCGAGGGACCACTGTAGTTGGAGGATCTTTGTAAATAGGGATTTTTTAAAACCTTTTTAAAATGTACAGAAACAAATTACCAGTTTTATGCACAATATTGTCATCTAAAACAGTGTTTCTAAACCACGTTCCTGGAGGACCACCAGCACTGCATGTTTTGGACGTCTCCGATGTCTGTCACACTGATTACAGCTTTCAGTCTCTGATTATGAGCTGTTGATCTGAATCAGGTGTGTTTGGTTAAGGAGACATGGATAATGTGCAGAGCTGGTGGTCCCACAGGATTGTGGTTGAGAAACACTGATCTAAACACTCTAAATCTGATGCATTTGTTCTAAAGAAGGCCTCTTGGGAGACATTATGCATTAAAACAGTGTAAAGCACCATCAGGTTCTATTTTTACATGCACATTGCTCTCAGTATTCCTCTTAAGTGTTTTAGCTTGCGGATCACTGGATTCCCATTAAATTATGCTATAGTGGTTGTATCTACCAGAGAACGAAACACAGTTTATAAATGTTTTGTTATTAGAAACCTTTCCAGCCATATTTTTAAGACTTGGACATTATATTAATCCAGGACAGTTGGTACCCTGCTTTATTTCTTGACAGGACTGTAACTGCTCTTGTATATAAGAATTATTTTCTATGCGTCTTCCATGTTTTAGCCCTCACTCACAGGCACCAAATTCCACTGAGACCAATGGATAACTCATCCTGGTAAAATTAGACGATAGTTTGAGAGATTGTGGCTTTCTGATTGGCAGATAACCTTTTGCATTATCTTCCCTCAGCGCTACATCTCTGTGCTGGTAGTCATGCTGGTATGAAAATTTACCATCTTGTCAACCTGAAACATTTGACACTAAGTCCAACACACACATTGTGTAGCTTTTCATGTATTAAATCGTGCTGTACTGCCATTTGAACTGGATTTTTGGTTTAAGTACGCTGATCGCCTTTTTCGTTGTATTTAAGTGTTCTAAAGTGGTTTTCACCAAAACATTAAATGTTTTCTATTATTATTTTTGTTGTATTTGCATGCACTACACAAATTGTCAATATAAGGGATTCACTGCTGCCTCCTGATCTACTTCCACCAAAGTATTAAGGTTGAATTGATTGCTGTATTCTGTAATTGAAGTCAGTTTGCTACTGTGTGCAAATGACAGGGGTCTGATACACTGGAAGCCGCATCTCTGTCAGATCAGACGGGGACGGCCATGATTTCTAATACAAAATAAAAAATGTGATTTTTTTTTTAAAGGTGTATTTTTATATAAAAATGTAATTGTGGTACAATTCATCATAAAAAAACAACTACAACATCGATATTTTAACTTAAAAGTCTTGTCGCCTTTTCAAGTTTTAGGAACAACACATAATAACATGACTTATAGTTGATTATTGGTATCAAAAGTATGACTCCCATGACCTTGAAGGACTGCATCCATACATCTCTGCAATGACTCAAATCACTCATTAATAAAGTCGTCTGGAATGGCAAAGGTAACGTTCTTGCAGGACTCCCAGAGTTCATCAAGATTCTTTGGATTTATCTTCAACGCCTCCTCCTTCATCTTACCACAGACATGCTCAATAATGTTCATTTCTGATGACTGGGCTGACCAATCCTCGAGCACTTTGACCTTCTTTTCTTTCAGGAACTTTGATGTAGATGCTGAAGTATGAGAAGGAGCGCTATCCTGCTGAAGAATTTACCCTCTCCTGTGGTTTGTAGTGTAACGGGCAGCATAAATATTTGATACCGCAGGATGTTGATGTTGCCATCCACACTGCAGATCTCTCGCACGCCACTATCCTGAACGTAACCCCAAACCATGATTGTTCCTTCACCAAACTTGACTAATTTATAATAAGAATCTTGGTTCCAATAGGTCTTCTACAGTATTTGTGATGATTGGAATGCAGTTCAATAGATGATTCATGGGAAAAATCTACCTTCTGCCACCTTTCCCAAATGATCAACTAGAAGTCAAGTTATTATTTGTTGCTTTTACAACTGGGATCAATGACAAGACTTTTGTCAGGTAGTGTATAAACACATCAGATATTTATTGAACTAAATATACCAGACAAGGTTTTTTAGTATATAAACTATTGTCAGACTTAATTAAACTTAATAATAGTATAATAGCAGTTAATATCTATAAATCAAGGTAAATATGTTATTATCATTTGCTTAATAAATATTCAAACGGGATACATATTAAAGTACAGTAATTAAAGCTGTAGAACACATTTATGCTTGAATACGGAGCCCTTAATGTGACGTGCGCATGTGATATGTCTGTCATATGTACGCGATATGCATGTCTATATTGTGTGCACGTGATACTATGTGGTCCGCACACAACACTTACGTCATGTGCTTGAAAAATTTTCCCTTGTGGACGACATGATAATCGAATGTGCACGCAAAAATCTTCATTATTATTATTATTATTATTACTTTTTGTATGAAATTATAGGGGCTTCAAACGAAGATGTAATCTAAAAAAATAAATAAATAAAAAGTTAAATATGAACCTATACTTTACAAAACACTACAAATATAAATAAACAAATATAAATAAAACCTCAAATTCGACGCTTAAAGGTGCAAGTTAAAGGAACACCAAGACCAAAAAACTTTTTTACGAAAACCTGAACAAAATACAATCTTTATTCTTTATGTACATTACATACAATGCAGTTTTAATAGGTTCTACACATTCATGAGAGCCACAGTGTAGTGCTGACATCTCAAAGCGCCGTTGCTCACCGAGATGACCGTTTCCAGAAAGTCACTTCATCTCTGACACTGCAGAAATGTACACCAAACGAAAAATAAAACAAAATAAAAAGAACAAAATTTGGCATTGAGTGCGACATCGAAAGTCTGCGGTTGTGTGTCGATTCTCTTGCGTGATCCTCCTTGATTTCATTATATATATTTTTTAAACATATTTTAAGCTTTCCTCCTGGCACAAAGACAACGACAGCTACAAAAGGCAAAAAAAAAGGCTTGGATTGAAAAATCATAAACACCCAAACTGCACCAGGAGAGAAATCAAAAGTGCTGAATCATTTATATAAAACAAAAACAGGGCAATGCAAGTGTATCTGCACCGAGCCAAATATCACAGCTAATACTGATATGTGACGCTGGAGAAGACAAAATGAGCCGGATGAAGCGTAATGTTACTATCCCATGATTCTGGAGCCTTTGGTTTTGGAAAACTACAGCGATCCGATTGCGCAAAACTCGTTTAAACTCGTGCAACATGAAGACAAATGACTGTAAACTAACATTGCACACACACTCGCGCTTAACTACACGGAAGACTTTCATCCAGCGCACATTCATCTGTCCAGGATGGGAATCCGGAAGCTCATATAAACATCTCTATGACATAAGACGTGACATTCAGGGCTCAAGTCGTCCAAGAAAAAACAATATATATTAATAGTCATAAATAATAAGGGGTCTCTGCTGTCTTCAGTGGTCCCATGTAAGGCTCCTTTGAGAGTTTGTACCAATACTTGTATACAGCAAACATTTAGTAAATAGTAATGTACACAATCAGTCAATCCACGTCTTCGTCTAATTGCAGCAAATCCATATGCTAATGGATATGAGTGTAATGATGTTTAGTGTTGCCGTAAATGGCCATGTGCTACCACACACACACACACACACATATACACACACACAGTGGAAAGCGTATGTGTAACATCTCATTGCTTGTGGTGGATGAACTTAGAAGGATGTAATGTGATGTTTGATCACTATTAAAGAGAAAGCGCTAATGTCACGGCAGCATCTAATAGCAGCAGCGGGTTTAGATGGAAGCCAGTATTCAAAAGAGAGACTGGATCCTTTTATCTGATAGGTTTTACTCTAGAGGGCGCTGTGGTGTTTGCCTTCGACCTCAAACACAGGTTTATGTCACTAAAAAAAGTGATTTAAAAGAGCAAGGCAGAAAGGAAACCAATGTTAAACACACAGTGCGTAAATCAAATCCAACTCTTCAGGATGTAAACAGTTCAATTTAAAACAAAACAAAACTCACCTACATTTCAACTTGGATGAGAGGAAATTCAATGTGATAAAAGTACTTGGCGTTTAAATTTAAACCTAGTTCTTAAAATAAAAAAAAAATCATATTTATATATAAAATAAAACAAAAACCCTGGTTATCCAGAGCAGAAATTATATTTCTGAATAAGTCGTTTAAGTGACTTTATATCTGAAACACAGGTAAGGTGGGCACGGCTCACCTCGGGTGGGAAAATGTAGAAAAATAACTTCTGTTTTTGAGTGGGAGGAGTCTGAGAGGTCTAGTGTGTGTGGGCGTGGCTACAGGGTGATGAGGTCGACGAGGTTACCCTTGGGCGGGGTCATATTGTCGGGGAAGAAATTGACGAGTGTGTCGAACAGCTGTGTGCGCTGGGCGTACGTCTGATCCACATCTGAAAAGCCTGTCATCAAGAGAAGAAATAGCCAATCAGGTATGTCGAACACGACTGATGTCGTTTAAAGAAATCAAAACAAAGTGCTGCTTACCTAGAGGAATGAAGTCTGAGCTGGATTTGAACAGAGCGGAGGGCAAGAGCTGGAACTGCAGGAAACAAAACAGAGCTAATTTATAACACTGGGAGGGCTACAGTTTCAGTCAGACTTGGGGGGCACGCAGAGTCTTAGGGTGATTTCACACTTAGTTCGACTGTCTGCTTAGAACCCAAGTTTGATTATCCCCCCTCGGCTAGTTTGTGTTCAAACTGTCTTTTTCCTTCTGAACCCTGGTACGCTCGCATCATCAAGCTGCTGTTTAGTGTACAGCTATTGCAAGGTGACAGCCATGAAAGCAAAGTGCCAAAATGAAGACGTCCGCATATCACAATCAGTCTGCTTTTACTGAATCTTTTGTTTTTGTTAATAAAACCAAAATACAGAGTCACTTGCATCTATCTGCCACAAAAAACATTGAAAATGTTCAGAACATCACGCAATGTATGCAGTAGTCATTTATGGTGGAGACAAGCAGACATCATCTCTGTGTTTGCACTGGGTCAGTCCTGCTTGTCTCCAAGTTAGGTGATACACAGACACAAAAGCACAAATGAATGTTATAAAAACTAAAGTTTGTTGTACTGTTGGCAGTTCACTTCCGTTATATTTGGTAAAATTGCATTCATATCAGAAGTGAACCTTAAGAGATTTCACACAAACAGTACCCCAGACCACCTCTTTCAGGCGGACTCGGGCACGGTTCACAGGTGCGCACCAGAGTTCAGAAGACAGCGTTTACACTAGCTAAAGGTACCGAACCTTAACGTCAAACAAACCCAAGTGTGGACCAAAAGTGCTAGCATGAAAGCACCCTTAAAGGAATAGTCCACTCAAAAATTATATATTTTTCTCCACTTTTGAATACAAAAGAAGATATTTTGAAGAATATTAGAAACCATAATCATATGAAAGTCAATGGTTACCCTTTTTCAACATCCTTCAAAACATCTTTTTGCATTCAACAGGTTTGAAACCAGTTGAGGGCGAGTTATTTGCAAGAAAATATTTATTTGTGGGTGAACTAATGATTTAATGAAAGTATACAACTCAAGTTGGCAAATATATAAAGGAGAAGAGCCCCTGCAAAAAAAGTAATATTTATCACGGGCTTTCAATCAAGCAGAGTTTTATAATAATCCAGCTTTTGGTGTTTTTTTTTTTTTGTTTGTTTTTTTTTGTGGTGATTAATTTGTAATTGTACTGAGTTTGTCCTTTTATCTTTAAATTTATTTGTTTGTCCATACACCCTGATTGTATAAATGCGCTTTAAAAATAAACTCAAACTTATTTTTTTCCTAATAATAACCAAAAACAATGCTTAAGAATGAAATATGGTTTATAAATGTGATCACAATATAAATACAAATGTGATCAGAAGCACAGCACAGCGCTCTTTCGACATGAACAGCTCATAAGCATTTCACAGTAATCCACACAAACTACAAAATAAAAGCTCAAATGTTTCAGCTTGAAGAAAAACCCTTACATTTTTGAAAGCACAGAAAATGACAATAACCATTACGTTTTAGTAATAATATTAATAACAATAATACTAAATACTAATAATTCTCCTCCTCCTACTCCTAATACTAAAAATAGTGCAATAGTTATAAAAATTTAAAATATTACAAGAGTAAAATGTCTTTATTTAGCCGATTAACTCCCAAATGAGGCTATGCATTTACACCTTCACTATTAAAATGAATGTAAATCCTCCTAATACTGATAACACTAATAATACTAAAAATACAACTGTTATAAAAATATAAATAGTACTAGAGTAAAACGTCTTTACTTAGCCGAATAATTCTCAAATCAGGCTAAATTTACACCTTCACTATTAAAACGAAAGTAAATGCATATCCTGACTCAATCAAGACTAAGGCTCGTTATAAACATGCTTAAGAAAAGTAATAAAGTTTATCACGGTGGCTCCTGACCTCTTTCGTCTCATCAGGATCAGTGTGGTCCACAGTGAGGGACAGATCATTCTGTAGATATTTAAGTGCATTCAAGGGCTCGGTCTGAGCCTTTTCCTCAAACCTGCAAACACACACACACAAGCAGAATACACAGTCAATCAGGAAAGAATGAGTGTCCAGCAGAGGGCAGCAGAACAGTAGAAATAATGTGCACTGATGGAAAACTACTACTGTAATTTAATCACTAACTGCAGTGCTGCATGACACAGCAATTACATAACAATACAGCTGGTTTACATCCAGAGCGGACGGATCAGAGCCAGTTCATAAACTCCCTTTTAACATTAAACACAAAACTATTGAACGTGGAACGGATATCTAAACATTTCCCTAGCTCTGTTTGGAAACAAAGCATCTCGGAAAGGTTTTCTTTGGAGTCAGACCAGGGCACATAATTGAGTAAACATTATTTCTAGGCATTTCAGAAGCTGTGAGGTCAGGTGAAATGTACCGTGTTAAAGTGCGTACCTGTATTTGCGAATGAGGTATTTGCAGTGACGCAGCAGGTATTCTTTGGAAGGGCGGCAGAGCTTTAGGGACCAGAAGTCATCCAGTCGCATTTTGGGAGAGCTGGACTTTCCTGGGTTTCCACCAAACAGGTAATGCACCTGCAGTGTGTATGAGATCGTCTTAATCAAACCCATTGATTAATCAGTGGAAGAATTAAGGAAACAAGCGTTTTATCAGGTCAAACTATCAAATAGAAATAAAATTTTGATTTTGTTATCTCTATAAAAATCTGGCAAAGCATCCTTTCTGATTGGATCGAGAGTAAGGCAAGGAAAGTTTATTTATATAGCACATTTCAAACACAATGGTAATTCAAAATGCTTTACATACACAAGAATAAAAGAATCGAGAAAATAAAAACGATTAAAATAATTAAAATGATTAAAAACAGATTAAAATGCTGAAAAAAAAACTGATTATAAAAGAATGAAAAAAAAGAGAAAGACATAATAGTGTGATCTGTCAGACATAGCACAGTGCTCATTCAGTAAATGCACAGCTAAACAGATGTGTTTTCAGTCTTGATGTGAATGTGCCTAATGTGGGAGCACATCTGATCATTTCTGGAAGCTAATTCCAGCAGCAGGGGCCGTATAGCTGAAGGCGGATTCACCCTGGTTTGACTGAACTCTTGAAATTTGTAGTTTACTTGATCCTAATGATCCGAGTTACCTGTTAGGTTTGTATTCAGTCAGCATATCTGTAATGTTTTGAAGTCCTAGGCCATTTAGTGCTTTATAGACAAGTAATAATACTTTAAAATACATTCTGAATGTAAGTGGAAGCCAAGGACAGTTGTAATGTGCTCTCATTTTATGAGATGCCACCAGATGATGTTTTATAAATTTCATTTTTGAAGGAACATAAAATTAGGATAAAAAAACAAGTTATTCCTTCATAACTAGTGTTTATCAGCGCATTAGTATTAGTTTCAGTCATTTAGTTTAATATGAATGGCTGTTGAACATTTATTAATAACTAGCATCTTTAAACTAGCTATTTAATTTAGAAAATTATAATACGATTTAACCGCCAATTAAAAAATCTATTCAAAATTATTTTATGATGACATTACATATTACTTATGTAGTAATCTAATGCAAAAACACAACATAATATGATTTAATATAAACATCTTCATTTGAATTTTAGTTTTAGTAATTTTCTTCAGTTTTTTTGTGGGGTTATTAGCTTAATATATTTTTTATTTTTAGTTTTTGTTAATCTACACAAGAATGAGAAAATTCTTATGGTCACATTTTATTTTAAGATAGAATTTTCGCTATTAACAAACCATTAACTATGATTTGTAGCTCAATAAACATTTAATGGGGTGTATGCTGAAGGACTTTTAATTTTTCAGTAACCTCAAACGCTTCCAGCGAACTATATACCACGTTTAATGTCTGTTTTCTTTAAAAATCAACAATCTTCACTGCCTGATTGATATACGATATATAATGTAGGTCTCAGAATGTACAAGAAGCACTTAATTAAATTACAACTTTCCTGCACCATGTCTTTAAAATATGAAAAATAATTTTACCCCAGTAATGGAGTTTCTGCAGGATTGCTGATCCTGACGGGCGTATGCGTGTATACAGCTTTCCTTCTGGTTTACGCTTGAACCACTAAATGAATGCTTAGGTCTATTTAACTGATTATATTTTAATCACATTTCAGCATTGATGCTATAAAAGTAACCATATAAATATTAAAAAAGTCACATTAACCAGAAGTTTATCAGTACGGAAACAAACACTAGCTGTACATATACCCTATTCATTAATAGTTAGACATTAGGTATGATTAGGTATGTAGAATAAGATCATGTTGAACTTTAAAAGTGCTAATAAACAGTCAATATCTTAATAATAAGCAGATAATAAGCCACTAGTTAATACTGAATGTAGATACTCAAACTAAAGTACTAAAGTTTTACCTTACTTATTATTTCATGTCCATTTTTTCCAGCCAAGTTAACTTCAGATGACAAAAATGATAGTTAATTTCACGCACGTCTCCTTTGTCTCACACAATCATTTGAGGTCCTGGAGTCTCTGCTAACGAGCTGATGAGTTGAATCAGGTGTGTTTGATTAAGAAGACATGCAGATCATGCAGTGTTTTTGGGCTCCAGGAATGTTGTTAAAAAGCACTGAACTATAATAACCCTGCTTGAGGAGAGCTGAGATTGAAACTTGGGGTTAGATTAAAACCATGATCAACATTACCTTGTGGAGTTCATCGTAGACAAGCTGATGAGCAAACCGAGGACAAGGTTCCTCTTCCTGCAGGGCCTTAGTGGGGTTTTCCTTCACCGCTTGGTCGTTCTTATAAACACAGGACCTGTAAACAAACACACAGTTAGTCTTTCACACTAAACAGCGCATACCGTCCAAGCAAAGTGTACAAACACACGCACCCACCCAAATCGAGTCAAATAAACAAAAAGTGACAGAAAGCAGCAGCAGATCCAAGAGAAAGACTGACTGAGTTTTCTAGAAGCCAACTGCTTCAATTAGTGTACAGAACAAAAGGTTTCTCTCCCCCGTTTAAGTGAAAAACACATTTAATACACGCACACATAAGCGAGAAGAGAACATTCTGTTCCTGTTGGGGAACCACTGACTCCTTTCTGAAGGTCAGACATGCCTGTGAAATCTTTTTACTGACGCTTTGTTTATTATTTTACAGATTACTCCACGAATATTGGCACCCGTTGTAAATATCAGCAAAAAATAAATGAAAAATGTTGATCTTTTGAGTTTTTGTGTAAAATATTTGAGGGATAGTTCACTAAAAAATGAATATTTACTCATTATTTACTCTCTTAACAGTGGTTCCAATTCTTTATAAGTTTTGAACACTTAAGAAGGTATTTTAAAGAAAGCTGAAATCCTGTAACCATTGACTTCCATAGTATAAAAAATAAATATTAAGCCGGTGGTTACAGGTATCTTCATTTGTGTTTAACAAAAAAAGAAACTCATAAAGGGTTGAAAAAAAAATGTGAGAGTGAATTATGGCAGAATTACAATTTTTGGGTGAACTATAACTTTAACATATTAATTGAAGATGCTTGAAATTGCTTGTGAATGAGGAGAGAGGCTTTACTCCTGAAACTCTTTCAAGCAGTCTGTGGTGATGATGAAGGTGCAGTCGGATTGTAGTTCTAGAGCAAAATAACTTCTGCCCTTCTCCAGCTGGGATTCTTGGAGATTTTTTTGTGGCCACTCAACTTTTTGAATAGTTTCTAGTTCAATTATCAAACAATTATTAAAATCAAGAAGCATTTTCTAGACAAGTAAAAACGTGTTTCGTTTTAAGAAATAAGTCATCGAAATCAGCTGCTTTCACCCACCGGTGTGGGTAGACGGGTATGTGACCAGCGCCCCCTGGCTGCATTACCAGATGGCTCCCGCCTTTATCAGACGACAGTATATCCACATCCCCTGTTCTCATTCCCTGTTGCATCCATCTTAATGCATTTTATTTATTTTTTCTAATAGCTATCTTTCGTCTAATCCCTGAAATGTGTGATGTTTTTATTTGGTCAAAGGGGTTCAATTTCACTACATGTAAAAGTGTATGTGACAAATAAAGGCTTAACATCATCATCATCATCAAATTAAGTGTGTTTATTCTTATATATATTATTTTACTTGCCCAAATAGAAAATTAGTTTTCCACGTTAAGGGAAAACTCTTATTTTGACTTATTTCTGAAAACAAAACTATAGGTGCATCCCAAATAGCATGCTTACGCGCTATTCTACGCCATTTTGTACTATAAATAGTATAAGCATTGCATTCACACTGAAAACTCTAAAAAAGAATAAGTGCACTTTAAAATACTCGGATAATGCACTTTAACCGTTAAAATGTTATGTTGGACACTTCACACACTCGATGGCGACTGCTTTGCTCACGTAGAAGATGTGGAGCTATCGGGCACTGTTGGATTGTTATTTTGGAATGTGAAAGCAAAATTCTCCCACAAGAGTGATTATATCGCCTCCCAATGGTGAATGTGGTTATACTCATGGCAGGTATAAGTCAAACAGGTTTAAAACAAGTGAAGGGTCAGGAAAATGATGACAGAATATTAATTATTTAGGTGAACTATCCCTTTAATAAGGGTTTTTCTTATCATTCAGAGCAAAGATTAATGATTAAATAATAAATGCATCTTTTTCACAGCCTTCTTTCCTCATATTTATCTAGAGTGCTAATATTAGTGAAGCCACTGAATGTGAAAACGTGTGCGAGATGAAAACATCTAGAACACATTCATTGCATCATCCAGTCCACAGAAATGAGAACATACAGTTCAGGAAGAAGAAAAGATGTTTTCTGAAAAAACCCGACTGACGATTGTTCTTCTTCCCTGCAGTGTACGGCAATCTGAAACCTCAGGAATTAGCCGCCTGAAGGCATGTCTTGGATTAAGGATGCAGGCTTGTCCTCTGGCCAGCACACATAAACAACAGCTCTACTGCACTCATTAGTATTCAGTGCGCAGTGTCGTGCATATGAACAGCGTGTCCGCAAAACTCACGCACCAGTTGTTGCGTGCGATGTCATAAATCCAGAAGGAGTTGCGCACGTTCTCCTCACGTTTGTCTTTGTCTTTGCTGAGTCCCGACAGGACGTGAATCTCGTTGAGCTCTGGGTCAATAGTGGCACGCTGAGTAAAGCCCGTCATTGGTACTGCAACACAAACATGTCATCAGGACAAGGTATAAATCGTCGAAAGCAGCTAGGTGTAATCATTTGTAAATAACAAGTAAACCACTACTATTTTATGGATGTTTTCAGCCGAATTGAGAGGTTTTCTTTTGCCCTACCTAGCAATTCTGAGTGAATACACAAAATGTGCGGTTTAAAAAAAATGACATTGAGTTAGATGTTGCATTGTGTTTTTAATACCCTCACTTGAATATGGTCATAAAATAATGCCTATAAAGCTTTTCTGTGATTTAATAAAACAATGTGAAAATACTGAGGATGACTAATACCACTTTATATTTTCTTTGTTATCTATAAACAACATGACTTTGCAAGTAAAACTAACATTTTTGATTGATTACATTTACTTTTAACCAGCTATGTTTTCATCTTCCTCTTATGCGCATTTTGTATATGCACATAAAAAACAGTTGATGGAAACAGAAAGATGCGCATACATTTTGAAAATGCTCATAAAAAACATATGCGCATGACTGAGTAGGATAAACTTTTTATTCGATAAGAAAAATGCACAAACTACGATGAAAACACTTTTAGTGAACAAATTCCAGTATGCACATTAAAAGAAGTTGTGTAATTTTTTTATAAGAGATCATGTGATGATAATAATGTGTTTGAATGGACAAAGCAGGCAGCTGACCACATTGTAAAACATCTAAAATGTTGTTTTGGTCATTCTAAAACATCTTAACAATTTCAGTATTAGTTTTATTATATTAATAATGACCTCCAGAATCAAGAGCGTCTGTGCTCCACGTCTCATGCCTTTAAACACCACCATGTGTTCGCTGCGTGTCAGCATTGTCTTCTGAGGCGCAAGTCATTTAATAAATAAAGAAATGATTGACACAGCTTCTCTTACTACTTACTTACTACTCTTATTCCAGTTTTACTTTTGATATTCGGCACCAGTTAATCAGGAAGTGATTTTGTTCTCTTTGACTCATTGGATTAAAACACTGCTTTATTTGTACATCTTAGATGCAATATTCCAGTTTTCCACATACATTTAGTTCACTTTTTGGATGTAGACATAGCTACAGACTCTTACATTATATTTTCCAATGTTAATTTTTGATAATATATAATAAAATATATTTAATAAGAGAACAATATTAATGATCTATATTAGGCGCTGTTTAATATTATTCAAAAGCATCAGCCACTAGTAAAAGAATACAAAGTAATGATAAAAAAACACATAATATTTTGCTAAAAATAATATCACACAGACAGCTCCCTGACTGAGAGTGTATGAGTGTTTCCCAGTGATGGATTGCAGCTGGAAAGGCATCCGCTGCATAAAACATGCTGGATAAGTTGGCGGTTTATTCCGCTGTGGCGACCCCAGATAAAGCCACTAAGCCAAAATGAAAATGAATGAATAAATAAGACAGCACCCTACAATACTTGACTCTAATTGGTCAAAACATCTGCGTGTTAAAATGAACGTTACACTTCCCATTATTTAAAGTACGCATGAAATCAAAACTAGCCATATTGATAGTGATAACTCATGTTGCTAGTTTTGTGGTGTTCAATTCAAACAGAAAGGTTGTAATAACTCTCCTGAAACCCTTTTCCCTATCTTAAAGAATGAATCGCCTACATCACTACATCCAATCAGCTCCCAGTAGAAAAAAAAGCCACGCCCACCGTTTTCTCACTTAATATTCTGCTTTTCTAGGAACTGTCACAATAGATTGTTGCTAGATCTGATATGTTTGTGGCCTTAAGTTAACTAGAAATTATTAAATATTATATTAAATTTCCCATTTATTGTATTTTATTAACGTCCTCCCGTCCCAACCTTTAACTCAAGTATTATTTAGGTTATCTATTAAACTACCCAATCAATTGTATATATATTAATGCCTACCCCACCCCAACCCTAACCACCACAGTACTGTAAAAATATTAATTATTGTTATACAGTGTCATAAAAATGCTTCTATACTGATGTTGATATCGTGCTTTCGGCCGGCCGCGTATCCGATCTACATTTTACCGTCACAATATAAAAAAAAAATGGCCACAGCTTACGGTTTTTGCAGACTTTCATTACAAATTTCGCTCAACTACTTGTGAAGAACTCAACCGGACATTGTCTCAGCAGACCAATTTGAATGTCTTGTTTGTTTTTTCAGAGCCAATAACTCCACTTTTGCTTCTTTGCTCAAAGCATTATCCTTGTTTAAATCTTCATGGTTTTTATTTTTGGTTGCTTTATTCCTTTAATGTCCGCCTGTATGTACATTGTTTGGGCTCAGTGTTTCCTTCCTGCTAATGCTTGTTCTGTTCAGTCTTATTTTGGTCTTATTCGTTCTCTTTCTGTCAGCCCAACACACATCTCTCTCGCTCTCTCTAATGTGATAACAGAGAACACAGAGCTCTTTTTATACTCTCTGACTGCGTCAAAGTCGCCCATTGAGATTTTACACAATCTGTTTATGGGAACAGGAAGTGTGTCACAGGCCTGTGTCTGCAGTCTCTCTCAGGCTTCACACTATTTCACCTTCTTGGTCGTGTTTGACATAATATCATGCAGTTATTCCTGATTAAAGAGAAATGGGAAGGGGATATTATTCATTTATTTATGTTTTAATGCCATATCAGCAGCACTGGCTACATTCATGGCAAAACCTATAGTAATTGTATACAATATAATATAGAACATGCAATCATATCGGTTTCTTAAAAAACATTCATTGTACAACGAACATACAATTAACAACACCAAAAATAGTCATAAAAGATGCTATAGTTTGAATAAGGATCCATATTCGTCTTGAAGACACCTTTTAAACAATTCCTGTAAAATATTTCCTGAATAAAAATTTTCTCCAATGTCATTTAAAAATACACATTCTATTAAAATATGTATTATCGTCAAAATATTTAGTCACGACAGGTTTTTCTTCCCCTTTCAATAAATATAAGTGTGTAGGTCTTGAGTGATCAATTTGTATGTATAACCTGATCATGTCTATTTTCGAAATGGTATGAAGGGAATATTATGTGGGTGCTGCTCACAATTTTTTCCCTGTTATGAGCAGAAACATTTCACAAGGTCTGTATTGTTGTAAACCGTCATTGAGTTTTTGTGAGTGTCATTTGCATGTGTGTGTAGTTGATGTGGTTATAGAGCTAGTGCGTGCTAGGTGAGTTAAATTACCACAGGTGCGTGTGCATGAAGTATTTTCTAAGAATTGAGTTCTGAAGTCGTCAAACGAAGTTCTCAGAACATCAGCAGACTGGAATTGTTAAATGCTGCTGTGTGCCAAAAGAGGGCAGATGCTGACAACAACTGGTTTGCTTTTTCAACTTGTTATTATTGTTTATAATATCGTAGTATTTCATTAAGTTTTAGAATTTGTAATTTAAGTAAATTTGCGACAGCATTTTTGTTTTGTTTTAAAAATATTTATATAAATATGAATAGATTTATGTTCATAATTATTTGTTTTATTTCAGTTTTAAATATCTTAGCACTTTTACACTTATTTATTTCAGGCTTCATTTATCATTAAAAATTTAAACAAAAAGATATGTTGCATTTTTAAAAGTTTTACTATTTCATCACATATTCAGTTTTGTGTAAGAAATAAACGTTCTTCAATTAAAAACTAGCAGTTTTCAAATGCAATTAAAATGTTGGGGTTTTATTATTTAATTAAGTTGCACTTAAAATAAATTCTAATTTTTCATCTTGATTTAAGCCTTTTCTTGTCTTTCAACTTATAAGTTTTGTGAGGCTCTGGCCCCCAGTTAAAAACCCCCTAAAAATCAATAAATAAATAAATAATAATATAATAACAAAAAAATAATAAATAACATCACAGAAACATCTCTGTGAGCAAGTAACCAACACTCAAGCAACCACATAGAAACCATCTTCAACTATTGATCATGTGCATCAAATGCAAACTGATTGCTAAAAGACCATGATTTGTCATGCACAGTTTCAATCTTGGTTTCGAATCCAATCTTTAGTCTTTTCAAACACTCAATATTGTTGTTTCTATGTTAAAATCATTCAAATCATCACAGAGTTGCTGAAATTACTTTATAGTTCAAATATAAAACACTGACATCTATATAATAATCAAAATACTTACAAAAAAATCACTTTTTGAAAATAACATCTAATAACATGTAAATAAGGTGTATCCATTGCATTGTTATTCAAACAAGTGACAAGCAACCATTAAACATGTAACTAAAAAATGCTGATTCATCTAATAGTGAAACAAGTGACGTTTTCTTGTGATCATTAATTCAAACTGAGTATTTTGTTAAAGAATCATGAATTTAAATTATATAATAATAATAATAATATAGCAATAAATGTTCATTTAATTCTGTTTATACGCAATAAAGCAGTGTTTGTAAGACAAGGCCAAATCCACAAACATATTCTCTAGAAACCTTTACAAAACTAAGAAAGACTCATCTAGGGCTGCATATTCCAAGCTTCCCGGAAAAGGCTTTAAATATTCAAATGTAATGAGAACAATATCTTGAGTGTCAGAAAGAGTGTTGGCAGAGTGCAATGTTGTAACTTCAAAATCCTCGTCTTCCTGCAATATTCACCAATCATCATCGCAATCCCCTAAAAACACGTTCCTCACCATCAACCCCACCAGCAGATCTGTGCATATCAATATCAGGAAGACAGATGATGTCAAGCTGATTTAGCGGTTGAACAGCAGGATGGCAACAGATCACATGCTCGCCCTCAGCTGCGCGTAACAGGCCATAGCAGTGACATAATCCCCACCTGATTCAACTCTATTTTTGAACATGATGTCACCTTCATGCTTAAGATTCCTCTGCTCGCTTTTTAAGGAGCTTCTTGTCAGGACACAGCTTTGTAGGCGTTATTGTTACAGTACAAGCGTAGTATAGATTTCAAATGCTTAGATTTATAAATCCCAGCTTGTTTTATTTGAAACAAACATGGAGTTAGGTGATAACATACCCATGCCAGAGTCCTTCTTGGTGCCATCTGAGATGATCTCCACATGGTCACCGTCAACATCGTAACTGAAAAAATCATTCAAGTACGTTTTGGACCTCTGACCTCCAAAAACATACAGGCAACGATTTCTCTGTGGGAGAGAAAATGAAGAATAAGAATCAAACTTGCTTTAAAAAAAAAATCACTTATAAATTTAAAACTTTAATAAAAAGAAGTAAACAATAAAATGCATCACAATAATCATCCTTTAAAATATTTTTTTAAAAAGATTTTCTTGAAATATTGTACATGAAGGATGTCAAGATAATTCTACATTGCAAATGTTATATTTATATATACATTAGGGCTCCACAATATTAGAAAAATCTGACATTGCGATATTTTGTTCTTCTGCGATATACTTTGTTAAATAATTTTTGGTCACACTTTATTTTAAGGTTCAGTTCTCGCTCTTAGCAAACTATTTATGACTTTTGCTTCACTAAACTTCTAATTTGCTCCTTATTAATACAGGGTATATGCAGGAATCCTAAGGGTAATTTCAATACCTTTTAAAGATTTTTTTTAAAGACCTTCCCAGAATTTTTTTAGACCATATCGCCACTTTAAGTTCTAATCCATAACAAACCTTTAACTTAATAAACAGTTGTTAATTAAAAGTTGTAGTTAAATAAATCAATGGAGCACAACAGTGCAACAGAACTGAGATAAGCTCAGGAGAAACAAAACATGAAAGAATAAATTACACATTTATTTTCAGCGACAACTCCTCTTTCTCCAACCAACTTACTTTTTCCCATTTTGCCGTCTGTTTCGCTCCATGGTTTCACCGCATGTGGAGAGTGTCACATCACCTTACTGCATTTGTCGCAAATTACATGACATTACCCAGACGGGGGAGCTTGGCACACCCTTGTTAATATTAGGAGGAAAACGAATATATTTATGCTTTTTCGGAGTCAAACACTTTCAACAACTCTTAAACAAAATTTTAAACCTCGTAAAAACGGGATTAAGACTTTTTAATCGTTTTTTAGGGCCATATTTTTCTCAAAATTGATACATCAACTTTTAATACTTTTTAATACCCCACAGACAGCCTATAATTTTTGGGTTTTGGGTTGGATTAGGGATGAAGAATAATACAGAACATGAGCTTTATAAGTATATTAAGCAGCCAATATCTCAATAACATGCATGCTATTAAGCTAAGTTAATAGTGAAAATTGGTCCCTACAGTGTTAACAAATGTATTGATTTTGATTGACTGGGATGATTCTGTAGAGGAGTGAATTATGCTTAACATGCAATAAACTATAACCATAGATGAATGCAACAAAGCAAAGATAAAAGTGAAATAAACAGTGGATGCTTTATAGTTTTGTATATGTAAATGTAGAAATTACACTGCCAAGTCATCTCAACATTGCATATCTATGCGATGTGACAATTGCAGATGCTCATATTGCGATATCCATGCAGAAAAGATATATTGTGCAGCCCTAATACACATGTTATGCGTGTGCATATGTATATATCAGCGATAAAAGAGGAAACACAAATTTCTTTCATCACAATAACAGAACAACATATACCCTTGCATTATCTTTAGGGATGTAACGATTCACCTGACTCATGATTCAATACAATTCTTGATTTAGTCATGATTTTTTAACAAAGTAGTTTTAAACAAATTTAAGGTGAAGAGCCCTTTCATTTTTTTTTTCTTAATTGCTGCACATTTTTTGCAAAATAATATATTTTCTGCCATAACTAAATTGCTATTTTAAAAACAAATAAATTCTAAAAATAGGAGGTTAGAGACAGGAGTTGAACATGATTATGAAGGTGAATAATTAATATTATTTGTATAAGTATTAATTAGTATAAGTATCAGTGTGATACACTTAAAAATAGATAATCTTATCAAGCAAATTATTTAAATATGAATAAACTAATTTAAAAAGGAGAGGGTAAAAATAGTCTAATACCTGGTCCTGCAACAGAAGAACTTTCTCTTTCAGTCTGAAAAATACTTTCACACTTTCGCTATGAAAACTGATGCACCGCATGATCTCCTTAGCACTCGTCGGAGCAAGCGGAGCTGCAAATCATCCGCTCCATGTGGTTTGGCTTATTAACAGATTCATAATTTTTTTTGGCATATAGACGTTTGTAACAGTAGTTTTTCATTGAAGTGTCAGGTTGGTCCAGTGTAAGTTGATGCCATTTTGCAGTATTCGCACACAGTTTGTGTTTGTCTGGCGCACTTCACCTCTGTCATTTTACTCTGCCACCCCACCTCTTGATTTAAATTATTAAATCAAGAGAAAAAAAAAAAGAATTTTCCTGTATATTATATTTATGCTTAAAAAGATATACAATTATTATTATTAGTTCATGACAGAATAAATAATGTTTCTGTGTCCAAGCCTCTACTCAACTTAATGCTCGTTTATGACTAGGGCTGCACGATATGGAAAAAATATGATATTGCGATATTTTATTTTTCTTTGACAAATATTGTGATATGAATACAGATTCACAAGGTGGTCTACTTAACAGTTTTTTTGGGGGGGTCTAACAGTATTCAGGTAAGGAAATTAAATAGTCACAATGCAAAAAAAAGTTCTTACTTTGTCTCATTTCTAGTCAAATAGCAAAAATATTATTTTTATATTTATTTTCACCTTCAGAAGGAAGCGAGAACTAAAGAGTTTTTTCCTTGAAATAAGCAACATTATCTGCCAATGGGTTATGTAAAATAATCATATTTTTGCTTTAAAATGTAGATATTTGGACTAGAAACAAGACAAAAATTATTTTTTTATTTATTATTAAATACAGTACATTTTTGTTAATCTTCCAAACATCATTTCTTATGCCCTAATGTTTTGAACTCTCTTAGAAACACATCCAAATAATAAACTTTCACTCTATTATAGTTGAACTAAGCAGTGACTCTACAAATCTCATGTGTTCTGTGGCTCCTAATCAACTACAGTAGTCAACACTTGAAGAGGATCAAAACAGTTTTCCAAAATTGTCCTAAGACAAGAATGGGTTTTGCTCAGTAGATTTAAGACAACTTCGATTAAAGGTTTTGATCCACTTCAAATGTTGACTGCTGTATAATCCAGACTTAACATTGCATATCTCGCGATGCGACTATTGCAGATGCACACAATGATGCCAAAACAATATATTGTGCAGCTCTATTTGACCACTATTTACATAGCTATCCATTTAATCTAATCTCTGATGTGCAAAACAGTCCAAGCACACAACATCCCAAGTTAAGAATGATAATTTCACGTTAGCACTGCAGCAGACTATGAGTGTGTATATTAGCATCGTTTATTAGTTGCTCTTGCATCTGATGGAGTAATTAGCACTAGAAGCAGTGACCTAACAAGCATCAATGTATCACTTTATGGGTCATTACTAAGGAGACGCACCGTGTGGAAGAGCATGCAGTGTCCGATGCGAGATTGGATGTCCTCCGGCCCTGCGTTACACGAGTCTTCTCGGAGTAGGCTCCAGCTGCCAGCTTGACAGTGATACGCGTAAAGCCCACTGAACTGAGGTTCAGACGTCCTGCCATCATCCACGCTGCCATTACACGTCAGTATCCGACCACCAAACGTGTAGATCATGTGCTTCTCAGAGTCCATGCACATCTGAGGACGCAAAAGGAAGATTATTTTAATAGGTGTTCATCATAAATCTGTAAAAGAGAGACTCCTGATGGTATGGAGGATAAATCCTGCATATACTGTAGGTTGTGCAATTTACCTGGTGGTCGAACACAAGTTTGGGTCCTCCATCAGCGGATGTGTCTTCACTCAGGAGGGTCCACGTGTTTGCGTCAATGTCGTAGCAGTAGAAGTCACTCTTCAGAGACTTGCTGTTTCTGACCGAGGAGTCCAGATATCGGCCCAGCGTGTAGATCTGCCTCCGTTGAGAATCGATGCACATTTTGTGGCATGAACGAGCACTGGGACCACTCTGAAAAAAAAAATGTAACACCACCTTTGTAGTTATTGCCATTTAAGCCAAGTATTAGGATGCATTTTCATTAATCCGATCACAAGTAGATGAAATACAGGTGTAAAAGATGACAACTTCTAATGAAACTACATATGACCATTCTGCTTTCTGTCATGTCAAACCATACACGATAACTATGGGACAAAAAGAAAGTATTCATACCTCACCATGATCTACCAAAACCGAATTACAATGAAAAAAAATTGTAACATCCACAATCTTCTCATTCATCATTTCCTCGCTCACTCAAAAGCTGCATTACATGGGTTTTTCATTTATTCAATAGCACTAAAGACTATAAATACACAAGACCTGTCACTTGTATAGATTTAAATGGGGAAAATTGTCGGTCAATACGGCGAATGAAGCTCTGCCTTCTAGTACAGAAGCCAATCATTGATCTCTCCAAGAGGAGAAGCTCAGACCAATTGTGTGCTTTTATGACAGTTTGTTGTGGACAATAAATGCACTGGAATCTCAGCAAATACTTGCTTCAGAGGCAACATGAAAAACACTTCTTCACATATACATATAAAGCTTGAAATTTGTACTTTTAAATTAACCGACTACACCTGAAAACAAAAGTTTTTGGTTTTGTAATCTGTATAAAATGAACACGAGGTATAGTTTGTCCTGTCAAACACCCATCACATGACAGCAGCAACTACTCAAACGCACACAAAATTAAACAAACAGTCACTGTCATTGGAGGAGATTCGCCTCAAGACCAAGTTGTGGATTACTTCAGAAGACCAGCACAATCTGACGAAGCAATATCCAGAGAATGGCAATGAGTAAATGAGTAAATGTCGTGATCTCATTTGAACTCTTAAAACCAAAATTTGTGAGAAATATGTAATGTAATCGTAAGCTTGGCAAACAGTTTTGGAAAGTTCCCGAGAGGTGTTTCAAAGATGGCACAGAGTGAAATCAATTATGTTAAAGAGACTCTAACAGCACTCAGTGCTCCTGCGGAAGTGATGTATTCTTGAAGAAACTCATGAAGATGATTTTAACACATGTCAATACCAGGTGTAAATGGTAATGTGTCTTGGCTGACCATTTGCAATCGGATCACTGAAACAGACGTTAATTCCAAGTGTAACGAAGGCATTTAGACCATTTACATATTGCACAAGACTTTTCTTTCACACTTTCATCTGATTCTCGATACATCTACAAGACAGAGTAAACTATAGATGAGGATGGAAGATGAAGTATCAAGGTATCGATATTTCAAAAAGGAAAAAAACAGTCAGTTTGTGATTCAAATTTTTTAAGGTCAATGTTATCAAAATTTAGGGCCCAGAGTAGCACTAAACAAAACAAAAAACTAACAAGCATACAAATAAAACAGTTTTTGGTTCTCAAAAAAAAATTGGATGTCTTGTAACGAGACGATATAATACTGATACTCTTATCAACCTATACAATATATATATATATATATATATATATATACACACACACACACACACACACACACACATATATATACATATATACACACATATATATACATATATACACACATATATATATACACATATATATATATATATATATATATATATATATATATATATATATATATATATATATATATATATATATATATATATATATAGATATATATAGATATATATAGATACATATACTAAAATATCTAACTAAAATCAATTTAGTGGATTAAATATAATAAATATCGATCAATATTTTGATATTAAGTGCCTAATTTACAAAAAAAACATTGATTTTATATTAACTCACAAATAATCAATATAATTTGTCATTTGATCAATAAATGAATCCATATTGATGTATTTTAATCTCCCTAATGAGCCTTAAAATGGTAAACTGTGATTGGTTATGTCAATCAGCCATTGCTGTTAATAAGCGGTTTTAGTTTCAACTGGACTGTGTACCAGACAGCCAATAAGATCATCTATTATAACTTCTGTCAACACTGAGGACGTCACTCCACATATTTTCCATTTCAATCATATCATCCTCAAGCATGAACTATTACAACTACAAGTTAAAATTCCAGATCTAAATAGCCAACCGCTGAAAGATCACCCATCTATCAATGCACTTTGCACAGAGAGCTCACTCACTATAGTATGTGAAAATCAGACATGATGGAAATGCCTAGGGATTTTTTTTTGTGCCATTCAGCTGAGTCATAATTGAAAAGAAATTCCCTCTTTTACTTTCTCTCTTACCTCTTTCTCTGTGTCCCTGGAGATGCAGGCCCATTGGTTCTCCTTCACACTGTACGCCCAGAAATCAGCCAAGTCCTGCGTTCCATCCCAGCCACCGAACAAATACACGGTTTCTGATGAACAAAAGACACGGACACAAAAGTACAAACAGAGAGAGAGAAAGCTAGAGTGAGTGGGTGAGCCGTCTTACTCCTTTGTAAGAGATTCAATATGAAACCGAAGCATAAAAAACATGCTTTAAGTGCTTATAAATCGTCATTTTCTTGAAAGGCAGCTGTGTGGTGAGGTTGAAAGGCTGATGTAGCCATGGTGATAAGCAGAGACAGTTGTTTGAGCTATTGAGCGTCAGCTGAGCCGTGTAGAGTGGGTTACTCGAGGTCAGTCTGAATGCACAGAGCTGCGGGATCGACTGTTCTTCAAACAACAAGCTCACCAATTCACACGCACGCTTAAAACAGCCATTAACTTGCAACAGCAGAGCAAAAAGGCATGCATTCCACTATGAGCAAGACAGGACAAGCTAAACAGTGATATGATAACCACCCAATCAGAAAGTTTGCAAATGAGCAGCGTGATGTAAAACGTACCTGTCTGAACATCAATGACCATTTGATGACCTCCTCTCATGCCCGGCCTGTTATCATCACCATCGCCTAATCAGAAAGTTAAAAACAAAAAAAACAATAAGAAGTGGTGCGTGTCAGGAAGAAGTCGGTAAGTCATTAATACAGCAGCAGACTTCCTGGAGTCCAGTGTCCAGATTCAGTGCCACAGCGGACTGCTGTCGTACCTTTGTTACATTTGGGGATGATCTGACTCCAGCGTGGCTTATAATCCTGCTGGCTGATGTACTGATTAAACAAACCATCTGGAAGAGAGCAGATAAAGAGTCAAGTGTGCACGTTAATTTGCTAATGCATGCTCCCTGAGCGGAAAACAATCCGAGTGTACATTAGGTTCTAATTACCGCAAATTTACACTGTGACCACTCAAGAGAGTGTGTATAAATATGATCTACTGAGAACAACTTTAAACATGAAGTGTGTAAAAACTTTTCTCAGCTCACATATTATTAAAACAAGATTTATAACAGTATTGACGACACTTATTCCAAAGTCCTATTGACCGTATTCTTAACGTATGAGCGTACGGCAGCCATTGGAATCTTTGCTCCAGACTTCCGCTCTTATTCGCTTTCATTGATTTTGAGACTTTTAAAACAACTTGTTATGCTGTTTGATTTAGAAACACTGATGTTTTCTTATTATATTATTCCACTTTTTATGTATAGTCATGAAAACATTTGATTGTAGAGCAAGTATTTTGACCATTTTATTTATTATTCCCATAGGCGACTGAATCAGAAGTTCTGAAACAACTGTAAAAAGGAAAGCACTTCTGCATTGTAGAATAAGGTTAATAACATGAATAATTTGTAAATAAGTCAAAATATGACCTTAAGTCCGCTGCGTAAAACATTTGCTGTATAAGTTGGCAGTTCATTCCGCTGTGGAGACCCCTGATAGATAAAGGGACTAAGCCGAAAAGAAAACGAACCAACCAACCAACGAACAAACGTTACACATTGGTCCATAGAGTGCAAAACTGTCTAACAAATAAGAAAATTATATTTTACACTTTTTCTGATATTGATTTTATGATTGTATAACTACCAAAAACTCATCTTTTATGAATTTCAGCCCTTCAAATTAGTTTGTTTACATAATGTCAAAAACATGAAGCAAAAACTCATCCATACCAACACACCCACATAATTACAATTACGTAATATTAATTCACTTGGCCTGCAATATTCAAATGCAGCCAACATGCAAAATTTATTGCACAGGCAAAACCTGAAGAAATATAGCTAAATATGATAAATTCTGCATTTAAAAAAGCTTAATCTAATACCAACAAATTAGAGAACTGTTAGTAAAGAGTGTATGACTCTTTGTTTGACACCGAGATGTAATACTTCCATTTTAATGGATTTCAACTGGGACATTTTTTTTTGTCATGAACTTCCTCAGAGGAACTATTGTGCGGTTTCTCAATATGCGTTCTTCAGCAATCTTGTGTCCTCATGTAATGTCATCATCCACCATTAAAGGTCAGTTCCAAAACTCACAACTACAAGAACGAAGGACGCATGAAAGTTCCAGGATGCTTCTTTGGTATCGAGGATGCACCGATGCAAACTTGAGCACCGAACTCATTCTAGAAGTCCCAGAAGTCATTGCGACGAGAGGTGGGAAAGCGCAGCATTTTATATAGATTTATTATTAGAATTTAGAGATAAAACTAATTTATCTCAGGAGTTTCACTAAATAAGATGGTGAAAGTAAACATAACCATGAAAATCTTAATAAAGACAACCACATTAAGGGTGTTTATTTGCTAAAGTTCATATTAAAAACTGATGTATTTGTATTGTGCAATGTATATTTGTTAGGGTTTCGTGCATGTTATACTTATTGAAAAGAGGGAAAACAAAAAATCCTTGTATATATGCTGTAATATTTAAATAAGTTTCTGTTAAAAATGCTTGTAGGTCATGTGACCATCAGGAAGAACGCATCGTCTTATTTCTCACAGGACGCGGTTTGTGTTCTCGTGGTCTTCCCAGTTCGTTCTTTTGAGGTAACCTAGCAAGACTGGTCTTCACAAGAGCGCAAGTCCGTTCTCTGCATTCTTGGAATTGAGAAACAGCCCGTGTTTTTTCCACTTTGTATACCTAGCATTAAAATAGATTTACATAGGGTGAAATACTACACATTTACAACAATTTTGCCAAAATAGGATGTTTGATTAAAACGAAAAAGTCTGAAATAATGGGTCAAATAACATCCAGACATCTTTTAAAAGCCTCCATAAAGGGGTTTTGTGAACACGCATTCTGTAAGTTTAACTGAAGCCAGCTCTAATGTGAAGAGATGCATACTGACATATGACCAACACTACGATTCTCAGTGGTGTTGGTGTGAAACCACCGACAGGTCTGCAGGTTTGAGGGAAATCCTTTAAATAACTGCATGTTGGTGGTTTTTGTTGGTGACTGTTTGTTTCTATATGACTCACAAGGTTAAAAATAAATATTACTTGTATTGAAAATGCATGAGTGCTTATTTTAAATGGTCCCCTTTAGTCAAAACAACAGACCAACATTAGTTTAAGTGGGAGTTTTTGAAAACAGTAAAAAAGGTCACTATTATTCATATAGTGAGAGTATGAGGAAGTACAAATGTGAGTCAGGTTACAATTATGACTTACAATTACAATTATGACTTAGGTTACAAATATGACTTACATTTCATTGAAGGCACACATTTTTTCGGATCTTGGTATCACTGGAAATCAAACCCTTGCTCTACTATTTCATTAATATTTAAAGTACATTCTGCTGTTCCCCAATGCTATGAATTGAGTTTTTCTGCCATCATCTAAAGCAGTGGTCTCAAACTCAATTCCTGGAGGGCCACAGCACTGCAGTTTAGCTCCAACCGCCTCCAACACACACCTGCTTGCTAGTCTCTAGTAGTCTTGAACACCTTGATTAGTTGGGTCAGCTGTGTTTGATTAGGGTTGGAGGAAAACTGTGCAGAGCTGCAGCTGAATCGAGTTTGAGACCTATGATCTAAACACTTTACATCACAAATACAGCTCTAACATTGACTGAACCTGACCTTCTGTGCAGAGATCATCTATATTTGACATTAAACGTCAACAAGGATGTACTTGCTCACCACGTAACACGATTACAATCCAGAACCATTCTGTTCCCTACAGTGAACCAACATGCCCACATTCCCTACTTAATGAATATGGCGCAGATCCATATGATGAAACCGTGGGTGAGGTACCTCTCACGGCCTTATCTATCAGCTCCTCGCAGGCGTCAAAGTCTCCTCTGAGAACCAGCCGCTCGTGTAGGTGCGTAAGCATGGGGTGCTCCAGAGCGATCCGTGTTTTCTTCTGCAGGGATTCGAAGGCTTCTGTGTAGTTGTGCTGCCGGAAGTGTTTCAGGCACAAGCGGATGGCCTCTTGTTCACGGTACTGTTCAGGAAAGAGGAAAAACGAAAACACTTTAGTTGTAATGTGCCTTCAATTCATGTTTAACATTGTGTGAAACTGCCTGTGCAAACGGGATATGAGGGTTATAAAAACATGAATGTTTTCCTAACTGGAACAGGTTGGCGCATTAAAAAACTGTTAATGATTATGACGTGCACAGACAATGACGCAGTTTTCTGTTAGTGTGAAAGAAATTAAATATTTAATACTTTAATTTTCATGCTGTATGACTAATAATTGTTTAACGGTACATAAATCTTTGAAATGAACACATTATAGACTGCAGAATGTGGACTTTTCAAAAAATTGAAGGTCAAATCTCACATAACCTGTCAAGAAATGATTTATATTTAGTTATTTTCAAACAATCATATAAAAAATGTAACTAAATAAAAATAAATTACAAATTAAATATCTATATTTCCAGTTCACAATGGTGAATAACCATCATAATAGTAACTGCAAAAAATGTAATTGCTTTATATGAGATCGATGATCGTGACTGCTGTAGTTATTCCAGTTAATTTTTTGGTATTTATCTTCAGGAAACCGCTGAAGGCATTTATTATGTTATCATAACGATATAATGTGGCAATAAGATCGCAACTGTACTGTGTATTTACACCGTGGCCATATTCATTCTGGGAAATTTCTTACCCTTTGGTTTCAAGTGTGGTCCTAAAAAATCAGTTTCAAGGACTATCTAGCCCTTCCCCTTAGCCCTACATCTTCAAGCTAAAGATAATTGGGACATCCCTACCCCTTCATGGGAACACGCAAAATGAAGGGTAGGGGTAAGGAGAAGGCTAAGGGGTAGAATTGGGATTGGGCCTAAGTAATACAATGAAATATTATTTAATTGTATACTTTTTAAAAAAATAAAATTTATTGATGTGAATTAATTTTAGCAGGCATTACATGAACATTTAGTGAAAAAGCCTTCAGAAATTGCTCTAATATGCCGAATAAATTATTTTGAAAAACTTTTATTTGGTATTTTATGTGCATGTCTTATGCTCATTTATTTATGGACATGGTATATATCGTATATATAGCAAAAAAACTTTTTTTAAAAGGCACAAAATCCTAATACTGCTGAAGTCATTCAGTTTATTCTCAAGGGGCAGTACTGATGCAGGTCAGTGCTCACCTTACTGTACCAGTTAAGGCAGGGCTGGACAACCTCTGGATCTTCAATGCCGTGTAACTCAATAAACCAAATGCTGAAGTTAAAACTGGGCCCCCATGACATCAGAGGCACTGTACACAACCAAACAAATACAGTCAGCATTAAGAAAGAACATTCAGTCATGTGACACATTAAGACTTCAAATCTCCTTTTCTCAAATGCATTTCCAATGTCTGAAATAGGTCTGTGTTTGAAATGACGATGTATATTTTACGGACACAAATAAAAGTCTATCATTTTATATTATGTATACTAGAGAGTAACTGATTGAACTTACACAAATTGTACTATATCATACTAGATCAGAATATAAGATGACTTATATTGTGATATGAGATTATCGTCATATCATCCAGCCCTAGTCTGAAACGACCAGTACACCATGTGAACATCTAGTCAAAAGAGTTCACACAAGCACTTGTTTGTTGCATTAAAGACTTGCAGAGTCATTCAATCACTCACTCAACTCATTGTCTTCTACTGAAATCATGTGATGGCTGATCTTTCCCCTAAATGTGTCAGCACATAATATCACCAGGCTTCACTGTAAACACTCACCTATTTTAATGAACCTGCAGGGAAACATTTGCTCATCGATCTTGTGCTTTAGCGTGAACGTCTCCTTGTTGAAGTCATTCTTAAGGCCACTAGGATTAGAGGAGGATGACAGTAAATGACCTCATCGCATCACAAGAAGCCGTTTCCCCAAACATTACTCACGTCTCTAGAGACACAATAGGCCATTTTATACAAATCTCTGCATCCTATTATCAAGGGAAATTTACCCGGCTTACTTGGAAATATTTAAAGTGCATAAAGCTAATCCAAGATACTGATTACTAAGATTTTCCCAGAGGACTCACCTAGACAAGAGCTCCGTCATGTTTTCTTCACTCATGCCTCCGAACACCTTAAACTTCTTCAGGTTGCAGACGTGGGTTTTCTCATATTTGCCATAGGTGATGCTCAGAACTATAGCTGGTCTCTCCAGTTTTAGGATCAAGTACTGAGTGGCAGAAAAAAAAATTATTAATTAAAGTTGCACCAAAGCATTTCCAATTTACAATGTTTAGCTATTTCATATAGAGAATGAGTGTAAAAAGACTCAACAGTGGTTAGTTGAGAAAAATGAGAAGTTTTGATATTAAGAAGTACATTTTGATTGTCGTACAGTATATAAATCACTTATTGAATCTCTTTACTCTTTATATTGTAGCCTGGTTTACCTCCCTCTCTGTTAAAAAGCAGAAATAAACTTTTTAAAATTAGCAAATGTAGCGAGTAAAATAATTGATGATAGACAAACACCTCTTACTGATTTATTTACGCCAGCGATGAAAAGTAAAACCTCCACTATTGTGGAAGATTCTTCCCATTCTTCACATCAGGAGTGCTCAACCCTGGTCCTGGAGATCTACCTTCCTGCAGAGCTCCAATGCTGATCAAACACACCTGAACCAATTAATTAAGGCCTGCACAGCACTTGATAATTACAGGCAGGTGTGTTTAATATGGGTTGCAACTGAAATCTGCAGGATGGTCGATCTCCAGGACCAGGGTTGAGCAGCCTTGCTTTACATGACTCCTTTAAGTTACTTCCGTTTGGCAGACAGTATGAAGTCCCTTTAGCAAAAAAGGCTAATACAAGAAGGCATTTATTCCCACTGGCATTGTTTTTTAAAATAGGATCTTAAAATAATTCTGTAAGTTTATTACTGTATTGCTGTTGTGTGCGAGTCTAATGACAATTTTCTAACCTCTGTGGGGATAGACAATAAAGTTTATTGAATTGATTATCATATGTAATATATTCCATTCAAAGCTAATTAATGTTAAAGTATGCAGACGATATGTTTTAATATCTCTGAAATTTGTGGAGTGGTGTGACAAAAATTCTCTTGTGATTAACATAAAACATGGTAGGTCAAGCAGATAATTTGCAGTTATTTGTGTTTGATAAAAGACAACCAGGTTTCATGGAAAGATCATATTTATAGTTTGTGTTTGTCTTGCCAGAACCTCATTTAGGCTGGCTAAGAATATTATTTGAAACCCGAGTCTTCCCAATCAGTCTGAAATTATGAAATCTTTCCAAATAGAGCTTTTCAGGTTATTTAGTGAAGCTTGATTTATAATCGCAATATATCAATAAAAGAACAAACATTGCAATGTCAATTTTTCCAATATCGAGCAGCCCTACCTTCTATTACATATTTATTACTATATATTAGGGATGTCAAGACTCAATCACGTGATTGAAAATCAGGCCTGATCACGTGGTTTCAGACTGAATCAGAATCAGACATTACCTCCCGATCGGGACTCGAATATATATGCATATTAAAAAATAATGAGAATGTCCATTCTTTCATTTTCTTTTCAGCTTAGTCCCTTTCAGGGTTGCCACAGCGGAATGAACTGCCAACTTATCCAGCATATGTTTTACGCAGAAGATGCCCTTCCAGCTGCAACCCATCACTGGGAAACACCCATACACACTCATTCACACACATACACTAAGGACAATTTAGCTTACCCAATTCACCTATAGCGCATGTCTTTGGACTTGTAGTGGGGAAACAGGAGCATCGGGGGGAAACACACACTAACATGGGGAAAACATGCAAACTCCACATAGAAATGCCAACTCGAACTTGACCTTCTTGTTGTGAGCCACAAGGCGCCCTATTCTATATCTAATTAATCTAAACGTATGCAGACGACACATATTAGCATCTGTGTGGAGTGGTGTAATTTTTTTAAAAACAAGGTAGAACATGTACATAAATATACGTATTTAGGTGTAATAACAGAAAACAAGGTTTCGTGGAAAGATCATATTGATAGTTGGTGTAATAAGATAAAGCATTTATGTATATATTGTTTATTTTCTGCATCATCTCAGATCTTTTGGAGCAGTCTTGCACTTTGTTTGTATTCATAAGCATTTACAGTAATGCAAGTCTGTTTAGTATACAAGTCTGTCTGTTAAACTAAAGATAAAGATGATGAACCAGATTAAAAACAGCCTCTTGACAAATTATATCATATTTCCTATCGCAAGAGCCTCATTTAGTCTGGCTAAGAATATTGTTTCAAGCCCTAGCCATTTCAAACAGTCTGAAATGATAAATTCTTTCCAAACAGAGCTTTTCAGGTTATTTTGTTAAGCTATAATAATATCGCAATTTATAAATAATAGTCGCAATGTGTTATGACTGTGTTGTTTTGCGTTGTGTGTGTTTGTATCTTTTCGTCTGTTGTAGGTTGGGGCGTGACTTCAGCGCACCTGATAAGCGTCATCATTCTTATTTAAACAGTGCTATGCTGCGTCCGAAACCGCATACTTCCATACTATCCAGTACGCTAAAATCAGTATGCGAGCCGAGTAGTATTTCTGAATTCATAGAATTCGAAAATCAATATACGAGAAGTACCCGGATGACCTACTACTTCCGGCGAGATTGTAAAGTGAGCATGCCATGAATGCTGCGTTATCCCATGATGCCCCGCGAGAGAATTCATGAATGGGAGTGAAGCGACGCAACTGAAGCAGGTAGGTCCCATGACCATGACAAAATGGCGAATGTAGTACGTCCGAATTCCATTCATACCTTTCACATTCATACTGTATAGAACGTACTATAGTAGTACGTTTAAATTCAAATGCAGTACCTACTGAGTAGTAGGCGGTTTCGGACGCAGCCCAAGAGTTCATCTGGGCCACTGTTCCTTTATTGTTTGGGCTGTTGGCCAGAGCTGCGCTCTAATTTGTGACATTATGTTCTGTTTTGCATCCATGCATTAGCCCTGACAACACTGCATCAATTCATTTGCCTTTCACACTGACTGAACCTACTGATAGTGATGTTTTGATTATGTTATTCTCAATTGTGTTTGAATAAATATTATGTTTAACTTTATTTACTGTAAGTGTTTCGTCTCCCTTAATGTTACATCTTTAAGCTAGGTGTGTAACACAATGTCATTTTTTCCAATATCGAGGAGCTCTACAAGACAGTGTCCATTACTTTCCAATATGAATGAAAATTCTGTTACATCTTTATTACGATATATGGAAGCCAGAAATGTATTCAAAACATCTCCCTTGTTTTCCACAGAGAAAATCAAACAGCTTTACCACACTGCAGAGCACCAGCTTATTTTCTTATTTATAAATTACGATATCTGAAATGCCTCTATAGACAACCCAGAACATAAGAAGGCCTTGTTGTTGTTTATTTGGGGTGCATAAAGTGGCTCTTGATCAAAATAGCCGGGGAATGCAAGGGACAGCATCCTCTTCAGATGCAGGTGGACAGGAGGAGCTCCATTACTCATGAAAACAACTCAATCAATAGTAGACGACCGTGACAGCACTGCCTGTAACCACGGCTTGAAAAATATACTCTCAAGCACAGAGACCCAAAAAGCAAATGCAGATGCGAAGAATGGGAAATTCTCAGACTAATGGCTTGGTTAAAAATGGTTTTATACATTTAATGCAGTTCTTTAAATCATAATTTAAAAATGTCAAATGCAGCATTTTCATGAAAAAATGTGATTTGGTAATCTCATGATCTCTGTGGTGGGTGACTGACTGTACTTCCTAAGTGAAAGGACGAGAGTGTAAGGATGCAGTGAAGAAATCATGAGCCTTTAATTTAAGGCTGGAGGTTAAAAGTTGAGGGTGCGTGCTACTATGCCGCCAACACGCACTTTCGATTTCCTTATCGCCTAACCACAAGACTGTCTGCGCTGTATGGTCTGTGCCACAGGGCTAGCAAAAAGAGGAGGCTTCCTCTTTGATGAAAGCAATCACGGCATCAACGACAATTTCGACATAAGCAGGCACCATATCTGAAACCAATGTTTGTTTGGGCAGAGAGCCCCTGTGGAAATAACTTGATGTGTGTATTTTATCTTTTTTTTGACGTGTCCATATTCATGTATGTAAGACATGTACTTTATAAATGATTAAACTTATTATAATAAGAACTTAGTGAGAATTCTGAGAATTAGTAAGCATTAATCATTCACTGAATGAATATCATAAAATTTTTAATAAAAGAGTTACTTTAGTATCATTAAAGCATTATTAAAATGTTTAGTAATATTTTAACTTACTATTTATTTTATATTTGAACTTTATTTTAAAACTTTTTGAGATATATACAGTGAAGTCAAAACTATTAGCCTTCCAGTGAATATTTTTAAAATATTTTTGCTCAGATGTTTAACAGAGCAAGTATTTTTTCAAAGTATTTCCTATAATATATAATTTAATATATAATAATTTATAATATATAATAATCCTATAATATATAATATTTTTTCTTCTTGAGAAAGTCTTATTTGCTTTATTTTTATCAAGAATAAAATTTAAGAAATTTGATAATAAATTAATAAAAATATATATTTTAAGGGCAATATTATGAGCCCATTTAAGCAATGTCGTTCTTTGATTCGAACAAAACAAAAAAACAAAACAAACATCATCATACATTGAGGGAGGTAATAATTCAGACTTCATCCTGAACATCCTCATATATTGCACTTAAGTCCTGTTAAATGTCTGGGATTTTTTTTTTTACTACTAATAATTTTATTATTTCTCTGAGAAATAATTTATTCTGTGTGATAATAATCTGCTTTTCATAATAGTGTTTTTTAACATTTTTTATGTGAACATGATATAATGATAACTGTTCCAAATTAAAATGGTAAAATACAAAAGTAACAGTCAGAGCAGCCCTGGAGATGATGCTCATGTGTTCATCACCAAAGGCTTCATGTGTACTTCAATATATGTCTTTTAAACAAAACTGCATAATTAATTCAGACTTAATTCAGGTTAGAATACTTTAATGTTCACATTCAATAGTCCATACAATTTGATTAGCTATAAAGGTATGCCACTTTACTCTTACATTTCCAAAATTTGTCAAATTCACTGTGCTCAGCACAATTGAGTACACACCATTTTGAAAATTAATATTTTTTCATTTTCCAGTGAATATAGGCAATGTATTTTAGTGTATTTAAACTAAACCGATTTATTAAATAGATATATTTATTAAAATATATATTTTAGTCACCAAACACATTTAGAAACTGAAAGACAATGCAATCAAATTCAAGCAAAATACAACCTAAAAATTTTCAACTAAATTTTTCCATTTTTTGTTTCTCTTAATTTTTCCCTTTTTTAAATTTGTATTTACTATTTATCTATACCATATAAATTTAGGTTTGCTAGTGTTTGGATCGTTATCTTAAGTTATTTTGTTAGATAAGCTCCAGATTAGGCTTCAGTACTGACTAATCTAATGTATATGCAAAAATATAACATTGTATAGCTTCCTATTAAAAATATTCATTAAAAAAATTTATTTGTGAGGGGTGCACTTATATATGCTAAGTGCTGTACAATTAGGAGTAAACCTTAATTTTAATTTAGGAGTAAACATATCACTGAAATAAAAAGGGCACAAATAAATGGTTGACACATACAGGTATGTAAAATATGTGCAGAATTTACCTGTGGAGGGTAGTTGCTCTCAGATGACCACCTGGAAGACTGATCATTAGGTTTATCCACTAAAATATTCCTGCAAGCAATGACAAAAAAAGCAGATGAGTTAGCGAAAAACATCACAAATTTGATGGTGTCAAACAGGCATGGGCCGGTAAAGGATTCTGACGGTATGATAACCTTGGATAAAAATATCACAGAGTAACGGTTTTACGGTATTGTGATTACTGCTCAAAAATATACTCTTTTTAAATGTTTGGGTCAAAAATAGAAACTTTTCCCCCTTTAAACACAATATACTTTATTTTGAGAAACTTATGCATGTCAGGCTAAATAATTCAAATAAATCATTGACTTCAACTGCCTTCATTAGTTTCAAAAACATTTCACTACATATTTCATTAGAATTTAAAATGGCATCTTTAGATATCTTTTCTGCTGGAGATACTGTTGTCTTAAAAAACTGAAAACAAAACTTTTTTAAAAGTCTTACATATACCTTTGGAACGGTATAGCAGAAAATGTTGCCAGTTTTAAAACCTTGAGTTTTACAAACTGCGGTATAGCTTAAAAATGGTTATCGTCCCATGTCTAGTGTCAAAATAATGTTACAGTAAACAAGCACAAGTTTCCAGGGCTTTGAACATCTTCTAAAGTTAAAAACAACAGTAGCATGCTAAAAAAAAACTGTTCTTCTTGTTAAAAGACGTCTTGCTATTAATAATATCATGTTTGCATTTAAATACCATTAGTTAGATTACATCCCCATGATTGTGTAGTCCCCATGTGAAGTAAAGCAAAAACAAAACTGTCAAGAGTACATATGTATACAGATATAAAAGATATAAGCTGCGTCCCAAATCGCATACTTATGCACTATTCTACGCCATTTTGTAGTATAAATAGTGTAAGTAGTGTGTTCACACTGAAAACTCTAAAAATAATAAGTGCACTTTAATTTCCCGGATGATGCACTCATTCAGCCGCTAAAATGAAGTGTGTAATGATGGACACTTAACGCACTCAACGACCGCAGGTTTGCCTACGTAGCGGAAGAGGCGGAGCTATCGGACGCACATGTTGAATAACTTTATTTATTTTGGATGGTGAAAACAAAATTCTTCTACGAGAGTGATTATAGCACCTCCCGATGGTGAATGCGGCAACACTCACGGCAGGTAATATTTGATAATTCGGTCGTTTATTTCACTGATTTGGCAACCGTCAAACGTCATCAGGGAAACGGTTTGAATTTCCGCTTAGTAAAAAAACATTAGTGTGCCATTTGGGACGACACTACATGCATATACTATCCTGTTGATTGTGTAAGTGCATAAGTACATAGTGCATGAGTGCATAGTGTATAGTGTGCCATTTGGGACGCAGCTATAGATCACTAAGCTAATGCAGCAACAGAGTCAAGGGTTTGTTTATGCAAGTCTACAGGCACATTTGTCTCTAGCTGTCATGTCTAACACAAAAAAACACAAAGAAGAATAGCAAATTAGCAGTATATGATGCATTTTACATGACACAAATTGCACTCACATTTTGTGACAGACCGCAACAACTAACCAACTCATTGGCAGTGTTTCAAAACTCACTTTCAAGACTACACTTCATAGGCTGTCTAGAAAGGACACTTCAGGTGTTGTGATAAATCACAGTATTTTCAAAACAAAGCTTGGATAAACTTTGCCATAAAATAACTGTTACATAATTGTATAGATAAACAAAAGCAGTATAAGATTAAGAGGGGTTAAAAATAACCTGACTCAGTGTCATATTCCCAGTTTAGCATTAGCCAATGTAGCATCTTTTTGCTTTTATGCATGATAATACAGTACAGTCAGTCTAACGAAGGTATATTTTGAATCAACATGTTATAAATAACAAGAATAAAGCAATAACAAGAATGTGCATTCGGAGAATTACGTTTTGTTTACTACTAAAAGTACAGTTCAAGTACAGTTCACAAGATAGGCTAGCTGTGTTGCTATCCGGCTATATACTGCATTATGATTTAATGCTATATAGCTAACGACGTACAGTACGACACCTGTCAATTTCTTTAAAAAGCATCATGGTCTGTATAAAAGCACATAAAACAGCACACAGGTGTATTTCAGATGTGTTATTTATATAAACCCACATGAGCTGCTTCATACTAGCCGAAACTAGCATGCTAACGTGACTGTCACATCTGCACTTTACCACTGTTCTCACACTTTGCACACCAAATGCACATTAATACGTACATTTGGAGACTTTACTTGTTTTGTTGCTTTCAATTTATACATGCACGCCTGCTTTATGTTTATGTTATATATATAAATACTCCCGTATGCTCCAACCCGGCCCGGTTAATACATATAGAGATCAGAAATATATAGTTATAAAATGTGTTTGTATATTTTAAAGCATGTATAGAATCTCGACGTGAGTGTTTATTGTGCGTTACTCACTCGGGTAAATATGTAGAGGAGTACGAGCTCCATTTATAAACACTGTAGGAAAGCACTCTGCTGTCAGGAGCCACCGCCATCTTGATCGAAAGACACACACACACACGACACACAACACACACACGCGCACAATATACTTCCATATGCACACTCTCTCTCTCTCACACACACACACACACACACACACACACATTGAGCATGCACGCAATCTTAAAGTGGAACGGGACTGGAACATTATGTGACCCTTATAATTGGATAATGCTGCCAAATATTTCTGATAATGACATTCATATGAACTGTTGCACTGCCAAGTTTTATGAACGCCTCGGTCACAGTGGCATTGCTTGATTATTTCAAGAGAATAGTTAAATATGAATTAGTTTCTCTTTATACAATTTTAAAGAATCCTAAAGGGCTTACAAACATCTCCCTTGGGTGTTGCTTGTTATTTCAAAATAAAATAAAATAATCATTTGAGTTTGTTTGTAAATTGTTAAAGAAATCCACAAAAACAGGGCTGTAAACCATAGCACAGGGTTTGTTTAATAAAATAACATAACATTTATTAAGTAAGCCTATTTTGTTGATAAATAAGAATTCTTTCATGCATACAAGTTAGAAGGAAACTTAAATCAGTGCTTCCCTAAGTGGGGGTCGCGGGACGGGTATGTTGCTTTGGGATTTCCAAAACTCAAATAAATTCGATTAAACTATTAGAATTACCATATTTTATCCATAACCCACAGAAGATAGCTCATAGTTACGTTAAAAAAAAAAAAACAACAACATACAAATAAAAATCCATCCGCCTTCCTTTTTTTAAATCCTTTGGCAATCCCTAGGGTGTTTAGATTAACTTACTTCATAACCTTTATGGCAGTCTGAAACATAAAAAAATAAGAGATTTGAGGTTTATATTAAATTAAACACATTAATTAATGACTACAGAAAATATATGGTTATTTTGTGGTGCCAATATAATCATTTTTATATAGACCTATTGTTGTTTGTGCAACGTTTGTATATTTATAACTACCTTCGAGAAAAATGGGGGTCGCAAGTCACTGACATTGTTATCTTGGGGGTCACAGGCTAAAAAGTTTGGGTACCCCTAACCTAAAGGGCTTTAAAAATCAGTTTGGTGTGAATATTTTAGGAAAGGAAATTCCATGGTCAATGTGTGAATATTTAAAAAAATATTATTTTTTTGTAAATAATATTAATTATTTGCTTATATATTTTAACATTAAAATGGTCTTTTTGCGTGAATGGATCATTTTATGACTGTGAATTTTTAAAGAAATGATTAAGAAGATTAAAAGATTAAGAGTTAAGGTATTATGTGTTAGGAAAATATACAGTTGAAGTCAGAATTATTTGCCACCCTTTGATTTTTTATTTCTTTTTTTAAATATTTTCTAAATTATGTTTACCAGAGCAAGGGAATTTTCACAGTATGTCTAATAACATTTTTTTCTTCTTAGTTTTAATAAAAAAATAAAATAAAAAAAAACATTTAAGTTCAAAATTCTTAGCCCCTATAAGCTATTTTTTCGATAGTCTACAGAACAAAACATTGTTATACAATAACTTGTCTAATCACTCTAACCTGAGTTGACCTAATTAACCTAGTTAAGCCTTTAAATGTCACTTTAAGCTGTATGGAAGTGAAAAATATCTAGTCAAATATTAGTTACTGTCATCATGGCAAAGATAAAATAAATCAGTTATTAGAAATGAGTTATTAAAACTATTATGTTTAGAAATGTGTTGGAAAAAATCTTCTCTCCGTTAAACAGAAATTGGGGGAAAGGGGACGCTAATAATTCTGACTTCAACTGTATATATCTTTCAGAAATCTTTTAAATAATACAAATAATTGTATGAATTTTGAAGCAATAGCCAACTTAAAACATGTGAATATATTCAAATGACTAAAACTCTCTTTTGTTAATATAAGAATGACTTCATTTCTAAATCTACGAAGGAATACATCGGACAAAATACATAGCATTCAATAATAGTTACCGCAGTAAACTAAAGGAAAACTTTTCCTTCTCCTCCATCACCTAAATATTATCATAGGACCCACATTAGCTAACACTTTAAATTAATCATCCAGCAATGGCTGAACTATTATTAATCATTACAATGAGGCTCAGGGCAAATTTACTGCAGCTAAGCCTGAAAGTAGGCTATTCTTGACACAAGCAAATGAACCAGTGCTACTCTCCAAGAGAGCGGGCTATATAACTGCCCAAGGGGGCGATCCAATCCTCATATCCAAGAAGAACAGCGAGGGATGTGGGGTGGAGGTGCTCTATTGTTTTCGTAAACTGTGTTCCTCTTTCTAATTCTGTGCATTGAGGGTCGTTATCAGTCACATTGAACTTCAATGTCACATGATCTCAATGATCACAATGTCAACTGCTTAGATATAGTCGTTCAGGAGACTATACAGTTTAGATAGACAGACAGATAGATAGATAGATAGATAGATAGATAGATAGATAGATAGATAGATAGATAGATAGATAGATAGATAGATAGATAGATAGATAGATAGATAGATAGATAGATAGATAGATAGATAGATAGATAGATAGATAGATAGATAGATAGATAGATAGATAGACAAAAAGAACAAGTAAAAGATGTAACTTTATTACTAGACGTGGTTGTCAAAATGTCTTATCAGTGAAGCTAAATATTCAAGATTACAGAAGAACACAATGACCTTCTAGATAAATGCCTACGGTGAATCATAGCACGCTGATGCTGTCTTTTACCGGAAAACAAGCTGATGTAAGGAATGAGAGATAATGTCATTTCAGCTAAGTGCACAGCCAGATCTTGGCAAGAGCTCTTTTAATTTACTGCAAACGGATGGGGATGGTTGGTGTGTCACAACTTTCAAAACCTGTACAGGTAAAAGAAATAATACAGTGAAGTTGCTACTATTAGTAAGTAATGTACAAAGGAAAGATACTGGCACAATGATGAGCTGTTATAAAGTGCATTTTACCTGATAGAGGGAATAAATTGCTGATTGAGCTTTTAATACTACTTCATTGATTTTTATTTATGTGACGAGACAGCAATCCCTTTTAACAACAATTTTACATGCCTAAAATATTATTATTAATAACAATAATAATAATAATAATAATAATAATGATGAAGAAGAAGAATTTGTAATCTTGATAACTTTATAGAATAATATAGACCAGGCGTGACCAACCCTGTTCCTGGAGATCTACCTTCCTGCAGATTTCAGTTGCAACCCATATCAAACACACCTGCCTGTAATTATCAAGTGTTGTTCAGGTCATAATTAACTGGTTCAGGTGTGTTTGATCAGGGTTGGAGCTGCTGAACTTTGCAGGAAGGTTGATCTCCAGGAACAGGGTTGAGCACCACTGATATAGACTAACAAAGTTGTACACTGTAATAAATTCCCAGAATTTCACAACATGTCACTGTAATTTTTTTTCACAGTAAATTACATTAGTGTCACTTTACATGATTTAACTGTTTAATTTGATCTTTTTCAGAATTTTATTGTGAAATTAAGGCAGGCATCATGATTACAGCAAAAAGCATTACGTACGCATAATAATACAGCTGTTCTGTGTTAGTTAAATCAGTTTAGTGTTGAAATTCAAAGATTTTAACCCAATTAGTTAAGTTATTAAATAAATAACCCAATAAAGGTTAAAAACAACCCAACAAAGCACCAAATACTTAGCAAAACTGTTTGAGTTATTATTACAAAATCCATTAAAGTTTAAAAATAACCCAACAAAGCACCCAATATTTTAACTCAACTATTGAGTTAAATAAATAACTCGTCGTTTTTAGAGTGTGACTAATTATATTAAATAAATCATCAATAGTTTAAGTAACAATTCACCCTATTACCTACTACTGGCTTATTACCTGCCTATTGTTACCTATTAAAGTATGATCCGATACATAAGCTCAAATATTACCTATAGTGGTCTCAAACTCAATTCCTTGAGGCCCACTGCTCTGCACTGTTGAGCTCCAACCAACTCCAACTCACACCTGCTTAATAGTGTCTAGTAGTTTTGAACAACTTGATTAGTTGGATCAGCTGTTTGATTAAGGTTGGAGCAAAACTGTGCAGAGCTGCGGCCCTCCAGGAATTGAGTTAGAGACATGAGCCTTATAGCAAAATTAACAATCAGCTAATTATTAAGTTATACAGTCTTAGTTAATGGTTTGTTAATGGTGTGATTTGTGCATTGCAATAAAGTGTTACATATAGGCTATCTAAATAGGCATGTTATAATATGTAATGTAAATATTAAAGGTTTTAAACTTAATACATTTAATCTAATATATTTGTGTATATTTCAAGTGTATGAACAATTCTTTACAGGACATATTGTAAGTTTGACACTGTGTAAACAAGATATTATTATGATTGGCCCAAACAGACTGAGCTGAACAGAGTGTTCCAGCCGGGACGGACTGCATACGTTCCAGCATCAGTTCGGGAGGAGGTCCCTTTAAGTTTCCATTGAGGGAGGCCGCACTATGTCACATGATGGACATGATATAATGAAACAGCGAACAGAAAACCAAGTGCGTGCGTGTGTGTGTGTCCATGACTACAAAATAAGACTGTAAAGCAACGCAGTCGTCCTGTAAACGCCCCGTTTCCAGAGTTGTGGAGCAGGAGTGTTTCCAACATCAGCCGGTGATGGTGTTTGGTGTTGCGCGGACCGGACTGCACCTGCTGCCGCGCATAATAAGCTGCGCACTTCGCAGAAATGCGGACGCGTGAAGTTATTTGCGGCTTCTTCATATGATGTTACCGCAAACTCCTCGCGCACTTATGAAAGCTGCAGAAATGTGGATTGTTGTGAAGAACAGCTCTTAAAGTAAGTGTGTACGACAATGCCTCAGGCTATTGGAAATGTATGTGCGTGTATTAGAAATAAAGCAACGGGTTTCTTGTTGCCAAGAGGAGGTATCTTTTGATGATGTGCCACATGTAATGCGCTTTCACTCAACCAAACCTTGCCAACGTCCGCATTCCGGTCTCTGTTGCGCAGATTAAAATCCAAAGTTGTTGGTGAACGTGTGAGATTTTAGTCCTGGATGAAATATGCGACTGCTGTCTAATTTAAAACCTCTCAGCTGCGGAGCACTTCTGTTTTAAAGAACAACATCACGCCCCCCTGAGTGCGCAGTAACGTTAGGATGTCACGGCAACCGAATATAACCTATGTCCTCGTACACAGCTCCAGCCGACTTTAGCCTTTATTATTGACGATAAACTGAATAAATCGAGGCGTGAGGCTTGCAGAAACGCGCGAGAGAGGGAAAGGAGCAAACACTCTCGCACTTTCAGAAGTTGCGCTGTTATTTCAGTACCATCGTCATCGTCATTACACAAGATAAAGCGGAACAGGAGCGATATGAAGCAAAACTTGACAGAAAGGGAGAGCCGGCTCGATGCCTGTCACAAACACGTAAGACTTTTCGAATTTTAAATTCACGTGGATGTCATTTCATGTTTTTACGCATGTGTTATGTAAGCCTATGGGAATTTACCGCGGATGTCTTGTTTTTGTGGTGATATTTGCCGCGTCACGACATGGGAATTAATATAAAGTTGATGTACTTCGTCAAGCGTTTAAGATTAGTTTAAAATTAGTTTAATTCGATGTTTAATAAATAACTATACAAGAGGTCTAGAGGCTCAAAACATAGTGCGCAAGTCTGAAAGCTCGCGCTTGTTTTTTCAGATACGCACGGCGTTTTGTACGCGAGCAAACACTTTGATTTAAACACATGTCATCCATATTTGAAAGAATTAAACCCCCTCAGATGTCCCTCGGGGGATGTTAAGCTATTTGCGATAACGCGCAACGCCACTAGTTGTCGTGTAGGAACGACAAACAACTTGAGCACCTGACAACAACCTGAACGTGCGCGCTCCCAAAGCGAGAACGCGCAACATGTAGGTTGAGCCCGTGCGTGCGTCGTCGGACGGAGAAGCACGGCAAACCGGAGACAGAGTGCGTGCGTGAAATATGGGTTTGATTTATTGTTAGTGACGTAAACAGGTTATCGACTACGTCGCTAAGCAACCTCGCAGATAAATGGCGTATTAAGAGGAATTACGTTTCGAATGATGTCATCTCAATGTATAAGATTGGCAATGAACTGTAGTTCTTCTTAAATATTTTGGAGATAGTTTGCATTGGATTATGTACTGCATTATGAAAGTCTTATTAATTTGTTAGCCTCACAGGACAAGATGAACGAATATTTACCAATACTGGAGAAAGTGCATAACAGATGTTAAAGGCTGAAGCTAGTGTGTGTGTTTGCACGTGTTTTTGTGACATATCAGGGCACAAACGTGTATAATGACATGGGTATGATCAGGTATTACTAGCAGATGGTGAATTATGTGGATATTGCAGATTTCTCCTTTTTCAAAAGTCTCATAAATCATAAAAAATCATACTTTTTTCCAGAAAGTTCAACTGCATCAGGGTTAGATCTAGGATTGGGGTTGGTCATTAGAAAATATAGTTTGTATGGTGTAAAAACAATGGAAACCAATGGAGTGTCCCTACAATTCACAAAAACAAACCTGCATGGGTGTCAGGGGATTCATACCTGGGGAGATCATTAGCATTCTTGTTCATCTCATTGGCAGGTGTTTGGTTGGTGCAGTCATTCCGTCTTTAGTTAGAGACACTCATTCGGCTACCAGGTGGTTCAGCCAATCACCTGAGCCATAAATGCCAGTTGAATAATGACTCCAGAGGAAAATGATGTCTGGACAAGGGTGATTGGCTGATGGCTCCACAAGAATGTGTGGAAGGTGCTTTTGCGCTATGTTGTAGTTCCCGTAATTATGAAGCTCCTTCTTGTAAAAACCTTCACATTCTAGTAGAGCTTTTAATTATTGTTTATAAACTTGGATTTATTGTTTATAAACTTGGAGACCATACACAGGAGATCTTAAGTCTAGATCAGAGGCGAACAGCTCAGAAATAATGTGTCTGATGCTGAAATAATGGTAGTGAATGTAGTAATGGTCCCAAATGACTCCAGTAAAATAGCCTATGATAACATAGTAAGCAGACTCTCCAAGAAGACAAGGCATCGGCTATTACTAAAAATCTACTTTACTATACTCACCTATGATGAAAATAATCTTTTGGAAGGTGTTTGGACAGAAATGTGTGTATGTATAGTGTGTCCACAGTCATATTGGGGTGATATAAACACTGTAAGTTTTTTTTAAGTTTCTAACGTTAAAAATAGGATCCAAATCCCTCCCATTTTGAGGCCCAAGGCAACATGACGTAAGAGTGCGGTTTTCCCACCCACACACCTATTTGATTGACAGGTGTGTATTAACATCTTTGTTGTAATGCGTATAATCATATCAACAAGCCAAGACGTGCGCAAAGCAACCGTTATTAAAAGATCTGTTCGCTTCTCTGTGATCATCAGTCAACATCAAATGTGATCAAGAATGAGTTTTACAAGTTTCAAACATTTTTAAAACTGCATGTTAATGAATTACCGTGATTTTCTTCACCACAGCCAAGTGTCAGTACAATTATAAAAGAAGACGCTTCAATCCCAGTTTGTGGACATTAAATCAGGTTTATTTTGTACATTAACATAATAGATATTCATAAAGCGGTGAAGAGTAATGTGTATCCTGTCACATTTGCCATGCAAAAACAGTGCAAAGTTAAACGCTTCCTCTCTCTCTGTGTGTGTGGTTGTTTCTGTGAACTTTGTAACGACCTTGTGTGTGACCTATCGTTCTCATCGACTCATTAACCCCATAACAAATACATCAAATAATCATTGGGGAAAGTTCCTACTGTAGTATTTCTCACCAACATTACATGAGATCTGCTTCCTTCAGGTCTGTCACTGTGCTGTTTATCTTCCAAAGCCGAGGTGGAGATTGAGGCACAATCTGACAGGCAAGTGGGAATGGTGGGCAGGGAGAACAAGCATTAAACGGACAGGCCACAATAACATCTACATAGTGTTTAAAGCAGAAAATTTTTATATTTTGAAAGGTTTAATAAATAATCTGATGGGTGTTTTGAGCTGAAACTTTACAGACATAATCTGGAGACACAAATGACTTATCTTAAATCTTGAAAAAGGGGTAAAATAGGTCCCCTTTAAATATCAGCTATTTAAATATGCAAAACATTTTATAATGTTAGAATGCACAGATATTTTTTATTTAATGTCAGTTTGTAATAATATTATAACAATGACAAATGTATTTATTAAATTTCAATAAATTCCAAATAAAACTGTACATTAATAGAAAAGGGTTAAAGTAACATAGTATACAAAATTATCAGAAAAAAAGAGCAACACAATCTCATTAAAAGCATATTATTTTCTAAAAACAATTCGTTTGCAATACTAGATTAAACATGCATTTTTTGTGTGTTGTGCTTGTTGGTTTGAACATTTTCTGACTTGACAGTGCTTGTACAGAGAGGGAGGCAGTGATCAGTGGCAGGTGTGAGCTGTAATTGTTATGGCAACTATACATTGCAGAAAAAGAAAGCTGTGTCACTGCCAAGGCAAGATGATTTGCTGATGCTTTCAAACAGGAACGTCTTTCTGCAAATCAGCTTGCAGTGTTTGCAACAGCTGAGCAACAAATCACAATCAATTCAAATCGTTTTTCACTGGTGCTTCTTTGATTTAAGTGATTTCATAAAACACTTGGTTGTGAATGTTCTAAAGATGAGGGGATAAGTTCATGGTGTACTTATAAAATAGTTCAACATCCCAAATCTCCATCTGTGCCTTGAGTGCTCCTTAAGGGATTAGTTAACCCAAAAATTACAATTTCGTGATCATTTACTTCTTTCAACCCTTCTATTTATGTGTTCAACGGAAGAAAACACAAATGAAGGATTAAAATCACTTAAGTAGTGAGTACATTTTTATTTTTTGGGTGAACTATCCCTTTAAATAAGAGAGTAAGCCAAATGGCTGCCTTCCATTCCAACTTATGTTGGCTTGGAAACTCTTTGACCATGTGTGTCCAGTCACTTGACCTGACATCTCTTGAATTGCCAGTCACTTGAGCAGTAAATGACAGGATTTTTAGGGCTTTCCTTTCTGTTTTGCATCTTGTAAACATTCCCCGAAAAGGACGGTATTTATGAGACTGGCTTGTGTTTGTGAATGGGGAAAAAAAGCGACTCGAGGTCATGTTGTTCTGGGGAGTGTTAAGTGGATCAGTGTGCTGTAAGGAGTTATTTCCACTCTGGGGTGAATTAACTAGGCACATTTACTCACCACTACATGGAGGAAAACAATAAGATTAACATTGCATTTCAAATGAACTGGGAGCTGCTGACGCATTGGAGAGGCCTGCTGTGGATGTTTGTGCGTGCACGTTGATGTGTGTTCCCGAAAACAAGCAGACATCACCAAGTGCGTCATCATCAGCCACAACGTACCCGGCCTATTGATAGAAATACAGACCACAAGTGCTCCAGAAATGAAACAAGCCATTCTAGAGACTTCTCTTGAAGCTGAAGTCTGTGTGAAATCAAAATGTACAGTGACTATGTTTACATGGACATCAGTAATTGATTTATTTGCCTTAATCTGAATAAGGCAATAATAAGATTAAGGTGTTTGGATGAGTTGCTTTTTGATTGTTCCTTTTATGATTCCGTTTTATATGTTGTAGCGCATAATTCGATTAACGTCATTGCGTCATCACGCTATCCACATTTCTTTCGGTATTTCATATAATTTCGGGTGTTTCATTTTTAATTTGTTGACTTTAATAGCAGTTCGGCAATTCATGCATATCTCCTGTGACAAACGAGATATTGGATGCGAATATGAACTGGTGGAAGTGTGTAGTTTTAATGGAATTTGATAACGCACAGCTTATGGGAAAAAAATACTCTCCATATTTCTCGATGCAAGTATCTGTGATCCTTCTCAGACTCGGTAGGTGCAGAGAACAAATATATCGTAAGTAAATCTTTTTTATAATATTTTTTTTGAGGTTTTAACCTTTAATATTTTGAATAGTGCAGAGAATTGACAGAAAATAGTTGGGAGCAGAGAGAGAGAGAGGAAGGGTTGGCAAAGGACCTCAAGCCAGGAATCGAACTCAGGTCGAACTTGGCGCACTTAACCATCAGGCTATTGGAGCCAACCTTTTTTTAAAGTCTGACAAATTGCTTCCGCATTTGTATTGACCTTTCTTCAGCTTCAGCCACTATGCTTTTGACCAGGCCCCCTTTAAAAAAAAAAATCTTTTATTTGTTTTTTAGTATAAGAAAATAAACAATAACAACAACAACAATAAAAAGGGGTACAGAGGTAATTTCACAATACACAAACAGTCTGACACAACATAATACAATATCATCCAGAAAGCATAAGAAAAAATTGAATAAAATATAAAATAATAATAATAATTTACAGAGAA